CATGGCCACACTGTCTTTGATCTCCCTTCGATATTATTGACATACTGAGACCCTCCTAATTAACCTAAGAGAACTAACGAACATGAAATGAAGCAAGTAACGACAGTGGGGTGAGCCCTGGCCGGCAGAATGCTCTTGGTATCGGGAAAACGAATGTGGACAGTTGGAAGATATGGAACGAGCATGTGAAAGGAGTGTGCATGTGAAAGGAGTGTGGTGCTGGGGACGAAGTTGGAATCTGGCCGGCAGAAGGATGCAGTGGTAGCGAACGTGGTAGCAGCTGGAACGAAAGAGTGAAGCGAGTGATCGTGAGGAGTGACGAGGTGAAGGGGCATTTCTGATGGAGGCATTGACAAAAATTGTAGGGTGAACGTGAGATAATGATACAGTTTTGAAGTACAGCTTGCTGATGGCAGTCTTACGCGCAGAAGTCGCGGGCGTGAGCGCGCTTGGTCGGCGACCCGGTGCGGTTGAACTCTCCGCAAGGGACGGGATTCCAATCAAGCTTCGGGCGGGCCCAGCACATGTTCTCGCGCTCGTAGTGGCCGCCGTCTGACGCGCCCTGGTCCGAGATGAGGCTGAGGCGCTGCCCGCTGCTCGTGGCGGAGAACGCACTGCTGTCTCCGAGCTTGTTGACGATCGGGTGTGCGCCGCCGTTGTTGCCGTCGATCTCCTGCTGCGTGCTCTCGGGACGGACGTACTCGATCGCCTCGGTATTGGCGCTCGTGTGGCTGTGGTGGTTGATCGTGCGGCCCCACTGGGTCGTGCGCACGTCGTACCCGCGGCTCGCCGTCTCGTAGTCGGGCAGGTGGACGTCACTCAGATTGCCCGTGTATCCTGGAACAGCGAGCGGGAACGCCTGGCTGTAGAAGCTGATGAGGGCGAATTGCGGGTCGACCCAGCCCGGGTCTCTGTGGCCGGCGGGGCAGGCGTTGGGCTTGCTCGTGGGCCCCTCCCAGTCCCACTTCGGGTTGCACCCAGGCAGCGCGGAGAGGGGGCGGAGGAAGCCCATGTCCTCATTGAGGATCTGGCCCTGGAGGCGGCAGTTGTACCGCTCGTCGCCCTGGAGGTGGGGCCTCAGCGGCGCACACGCCTGGAGGTTGTCTCCGACGCCGCCGCACTGGTTGATAGTGTCGGCGAGGACCTGCGAGTCCCACCCGTTGACAAAGTCGCCGTGCCAAGTGACGCCCGTCACGTCGCCGTTGGAGATGATGAAGTTGGAGTCGTTCGGGTTCCAGTCCGCCTTCATGGCATCGGTCAGGTCGAAGAGAGTCTCGATCAGAACCTGCGGGTACCACACGGGGTGTGTGTCGGGGCACTTGCGGCTGTTGACGGCCCACTCATTGAGCTGCCCGAAGATGGGGTGCGCCATGTGGGAGAAGTGGTCGTCCGAGTCGAGCGCCTGGTCTGCGCGCCCGCAGCGCGGGAACGTGATCGAGGCAATGACCTGGTTCGGCGGCGTGGCACGCTTGCGCGCCATGAAGCGCTCATTCTCGCCATTCTCGCGGTTGTACTGGAGGCGCACGCCCACGGTTTGCTCGGCGCCCTCGTCGCGGAACGTGGCGAGGCCACTGACCATGCGCAAGCCCTCGGGGAAGGGCGAGGGCGTCACGCCGTTCTCGCTCTTGTCGACCGTGTAGTACACGCGCGTGTTGGACGTTAGGGGCGAGTACGTCCCGTTGCTCCACATGTAGTACAGCGTGGGGGTCCAGTAGGAGCTCTTGTCGACCGAGACCTTGGTCGAGGAACAGACCGCGTTGCGCTGCTCGGCAGGCGTGTTCAGCACGTCGCGAATGTTGCTCGCCCCGATGAACTGGTGCACGTGCTGCCCCACTTGGCCGGGCGAGATGATGGGGTCATTCCGCCCGTACATGAGGAAACCGTTATCGCCAAGGATGAACTGGTTCGCGACCGTGTCCGCGGCCAGCGCGGGTGCCGCCAGCGCAAGTGAGAGCAGGACCGGCGAAAACATGGTATAGTGTGAAGGAGTGTCGGTGAAACGAATGTGGATGGGCTTAGTGTTCGTGTGCCACAGGAGTCGGCTCTGGGCTTCGATGGCTGGGCGTGTTCTGCATCTGTCTCGCGCTCTCTTATATGCTCTTCAGACCAGCGCCCTCGAAGACTGCTTCGAGTGCCAGGTCGGGAGCGATCCGAACACCGCGACTGAGTCAAGTCGCATGTATGCACGCCGAGGCCAGCCGAAGAACCACAACGTCAGTCAAAACGAAATCGAAAACAAGAATCCGAGGGTTGCACCTGTGCCTCACTCAAGCTGCACTCATGTGGTCCAGAGTGAGCCGGCAAGTGCCCCGCCTTTGTGGCCCTCATTTTGGCTCAGCCAGCTCAGGACAGCAGGACAACAACAAACTCAGAAAGCTCCAGGACACCGGTCATCTTCGTCGTCGACGTATCAGAGCGCGCAATGGCTGACCAAGTTGCTTTTCGAGGGTGTCAATGTCTCAGCGCCCCGCATCAGGAGGCATCAGGTAGGAGAAGATAAACATTCAAGCGTCGTTATCGCATCGTAATGTAAGAGGGCACTCATCGCCTGAGCACCCCAGTTACGTCGTTTCATCCTCACTACCAACGTGTGGAGCTCGAGCAATGCTTTGGGGTATTCAGTAAGTGCCTCGCTGGCCCAAACGGAGCTGACGAGTTCTCTGACCGCGCAAGGTTTACAGTTCTCTCTTCTGTGCTCAGCCGGGTGACCCAGGTGTTCGTTGATGGCTATCGGGTGAACGCGTCCTGGGCGGCCACGTCCAATGGACGTGTACACATAGCGTCTGATGCATTGACATCTGATCTTGTCAGGTCGCTCAATATGTTCAGTGTCGGTCCAGCCCGACCGCGCACTCCGATCTACACTCTTGACCTTCCAACTTTGTTCCTCATCTTCGACGCCGTCAACGTTTGCTCCCTCTCCCACACTCCCAGACTTGCGACGCTGGCAGTCGCCCAAGAAAGGAAGGAGGAAGGAACAGCAGCAGGCACCCCGGAAGCATGTATGCTTACGAAGCCAAGTGTTGAGAGGCAGCATGGGTCATGTGCAAGGCGATAACGACACTTCTCTCGAGAGGTGCCAAGTAAAGCGCCGGCGTAGCGAGGGGCCTTAATATCGCTTACGGAGAGGTCGAGGCATGGGTACCAAATGTCTGGATACGAGACGGAGCCGGGTCATAGCCCCGCAGCGGTGGTGCATGCCGGCCCGAGGACCCTCACCCTGCTCTTTGGGTCTGTTCGAGACCACAGTTTTGGATCTTTGGAAGAGGGTGCTGATCAAACGAGGGTGAGGGTGAGGGTGAAGCAGTCCCAGGCTGCGTCCCCAATCACAGGGCTGAAACGCGATAACAAACTGACGTACTCCGGAAGATCTGTTTAGAGTTTGCTTCACCGGCACCTTCTGGACCACTCTAGGCCCACGGCTCTGAAGAGTCTCGAGTACGATACGGGGTGAAAGGTGCTGGCCTCTGTTGACCCTGCAGATCTGCAGAATCGAGGTCTCTGAAGGTCTCGCCGCTCGGCGAACTGGCCGCCGCTGATGGTGTGACTCCCACAAGTTGCTTCACGGAAGGGTGCAATTGAGCCGTAGCTCTACGCTGTGCCACGGATCCCCAGACTCTATCTTCCCTACATACCTTTGCAGTCGAGTGACTGCTTTAAGGTGCGAGCGTTGGTCACGAGTTGTGCGACGACGTCGAGTATGAGTGTGGCATATGAGTTCGAGGTCCTCCTGGAGCAGATGGTGCTTCGGAGGATTTCTCAACGCCAACACCTGCTGCAATTCACCTGCAATTCACTCGGAGATTTGTGGGCTGGAAGAGTACTAGCAGCGAGCCGAGACGAACCGAAGGCAGAAAGCTGACGCCGCGTTATGCCCCATTCTCTCCCAGCCTGTCTGCTGTTCCTTCGATTGAGCGGGCGAGCGGGTCGCTCCACCCTCCCAGTCGGTACTTTACTCGTCTTCCAGATGGCACGTCACTTGTGCCTTCACTCTTTTCTCCCCATGTGCTTATGCCCGTATGCTTACGCACTGCTAACGTGCCCGTCGTAGCTCTGCGGACGGACAGAAGGCAGTGGCATTCCGCATCGGAGAGTGAGAGTGATCCTGGTCTCTTCCAGATTCAGTTCACTCTCGACTTCCATGTGCGACTGCTAAGTCTGGGCCCCTGTTCCAGCACTGCCAGCGCAACTAGTGCAACACTGAGGCAAGCAAGTAGTGATACATAGCATAGTTCTAATAGTAGCACAGAAAACACCTAAGTGTAACAAGTAGTATTCCGGGGGGGGGTATCCTCCTCTCTCCTCATCTCTCCCTCTCTCACGCTCTATGCAACATTGCCATCGCGCGCCCTGGGCGTGAACGGATTGGCAGCCTGCGGCTGTTTCCCCTCGGGGGCGAGTTTCGTCCTCGCCATCTTCTCCGCAAACATGCGCTCCGCGCTCGTCATCTTCCGCTTCGTGCCCCCGAGCCCATTCTTGACGAGGTTCTCTCTGCTCTTGAACGGGCTCCGCCTCGCTTCGGCGGGGCGCGGGCGCGCGTCCTCCTCGTCCTCGCGCGGTCGCTTGCGGCCGGGCGTGCCTATGCCTGGCGTGTCTTCTGCGAGAACGCTGAAGGCGCGCTTGGATGATGGGGGCTGGAGTGTCGCGCTCGTGGCAGGGTGAGAGGAGGTGGGGACAGCAGGGACGGTGTTGGCGGCGTTGGCACGGTGCATGCGCAACGCGTCCACTTCGGCGACAAGTTCACTCTTCTGCCTCTCCAGCTTCTCCGTCTTTCGCCTGTATCGCCCGATCTCCTTGTTCAGCTCGAGGGCGCGGTCGTCGGCCTCGTCGATCTCGTTCGTCTTGGCCGACAGCGCGGCGTGCGCACGCTCCAGGTCCTCCTTCAGGTCCTCGACCTCGCGCGCACGGTCCTCAAGCGCCTGTTGGGCCGCAGCGAGTTCGCCGTCCTTGGCTGAAAGGCGTGCAGCTTCCGCACTGTTCTGGGCAGCGGCGGTCTCGAGCTCCTCCTTAAGCGACGCGAGACGGGCGGACAGGTCCTTCGTTTGAGACTCCATGAAGCGGAAGTGGTTCGAGACCTTCTTGCTCTCAGTCTCGGCGGCCTCCTTTTCGGAGCGTGCGGTCGCCGCATCAGCCTCAGCGGCAGCCTGGGCGACGCGCGATTCGTTCAGGTCGTGCAGTGTCGTCTCGAGCTGCGTTCTGAAAGTCTCAAGTTTGGACTGAGCCTCGTTGAGGTCAGCCACAGTCGCCTCCACCTCTGCCTTTGTCGTGGACAGTTCCGTCGTTGCCGTGGCGTGCGCCTCGGTCATGGCAGAGAGCTTGGCGTTCGCCTCCTCGAGGCGCGCCTGCAGCGCCGCAACCTCGGAGCGGGTGCTCGCCAGCGTCTCCTCCAAGCTCGCCATGTTGGCACTGAGATCCTCGCCAGCCTTGGTCGACTCAGCCAGCGCAGCCTCGAGGCGGCTCTTCTCGGATCGGAGCTCCTCAGCCTCGGCCTCGAGCGCGCTGATGCGGCTCGCGGCGTCGCCGTGCTCCGCACGCAGTGACTCGAGGGTTGAGTTGAGCTGCATGATGTCCTCAGAGTGCTTCGCGATCTCCGCCTCGGCCTTCTCAGCGCGTGCAGTCGCCTCGGTGATCTGCTCGGCGTTGGCCGTCGACGCCTCCTGCATGACACGGGCGTGCTCGGAGGCAGCAGCCTCGGCCTCGCTCTTGGCTGTCTCGAGATGGCGGGCACTGTTGGCAAGCTCGGTCTCGAGCTCCTCAATCTTGGTCTGCAGGGTGGTCGCCCGCTCCGCCTCGGCGACAATGGTCGCTTCCGCGGTCGTGGCGCGGTCCTCGGCCTTCTCGAGGGCGGCACGGACGTCGCCGAGCTCCTCACGCAGCTTGGCGGACTGAGAACCAGCATTGAGAAGCACAGTCTGCTCCTCCTCCATCGACGAGATGCGGGCGAGGGCGCTCTTGAGCTGCGCGTCGGAAGAGTCGGCACGGTGCTTGGCGGCAACGACTGCTCCGCGGTGCACGGCGATCGTGAGTGTGAGATCGCGAATGGAGAGCGAGGCGTGCTGGGAGAAAGCGCGGGCCGAGGCGAGCGCGGACTCGAGCTGCGACACAATGACGTTGCGCGCTTGCAGCTCTGCCCGAGTAGCGTTGACGGTGGCAGCGTAGCTATCCCTGTCGGCGATGACGCTGGTGTGCTTGTGCGTCAGAGCCTCGTGTTCGTCCTTCAGCGTCGCCATGTCCGACTCGAGCTCGGCGCTCTTCTGCTGCGAGGCGGCGATCTCCTCGGCGCGAGCGTCGAGCTGGCCCGTGAGCTCTTCAACAGCCGTAGCCTTGGCGGCGGCTTCGGCCTGAGCGCGGGTAAGCTCCTGCTTGAGCTCAGCATTCTCAGCCTTGGCAGCAGCGAGGTCGTCGGTGAACTCGCCAATGTCCTCCTGCGCGACAGCGTAGTTCATGCGGAGCTTGTCAAGCTCGACCTGAAGGTTCTGCAGGCGGACGTCGCGGCGCTCAATGCGGTCGTACAGCGCCTTGAACTCGGCGTCGCGGGCCTGCGCGTCCGCCGGCGCCTCGCCTCGTAACCGTTCCGCGCGCTCCTCGGCGTCGCGCTGCCGCGACTGCGCAAGCGATAACTCGGCGGCAGCCTGCTTGGCGTCCATCTCGCGCTCGTGTACGGCCGAAGTGAGCTCCTTCTTGATCTCGGCGAGCTTGCCCTCGAGCTTGGCGATCTTGGAGCGCGCAGCATCGCGGTCACCCCGAATCTCGTCGATGCGCGTCGAGAGGCGATTGTTCTCGCTGATGGTGGTGTCGAGCTTGCTTGATCGCTCCTCGAGACCGGCAACGCGCTCCTTCAGGTTGCTGTGAGCTGTTGAGAGTGCATCCTGAGCGGCCTGCTGAGCAGCGGCGGCCTGCTCGAACGCCTCGACCTCGCACTTCCGCTCGGCAGTGACGTAGCCGACTTGACCTTTGAGCTCGTCGCGCTCACCGCGGAGGCGCTGGATCGTGATCGTCATCTGATTGAAGCGGTCGGTCTGGGCAGTAGTCTCCCGGGACAGCTCGGTGATGCGGGCCTTGCTCGCCTCCGCCTCGGCCTCCTTCGAAGCGAGGCTTTCTTGCAGCTCGGTCGCCCTCTTGCGCTCAGCCTCCAGCTCGGCACGCACACCAGCAAGCTCCTCCTGGATTGCAGCGAGCTCCGCCTCGAGCTTCTTGACACGCTGGTGAGCCGACTTGCTGCTTGACCTGACCTTCTCGAGATCGAAGGAAACGGAGGTTAGGCGCGACTCCTTCTCCTGCAGCTCGGAGCGGGCAGACTCGAGCTCTTCGTTGAGGGCCGACTCCATGTCGCCGATCTCAGTCGTGAGCGTCTGCAACTCCTCCTTGGCGCTGTCGCGCTCCTGAGTGGCGAGCGTGAGCTGGGTCGTGAGGTCGTTGACCTGTGCCTCGAGCTCCTCCAAGCGAGCAGAAGTCACCTCGGCGACGGGACTGGAGGCAGCGCTCCGCGTCTCGACGAGAGACGCCTTGAGCGCGTCGCGCTCGTTCGAGACGGCAGCAAGTGTCGAGAGCTGCGCCGAAACCGACTCTTCGAACCCGGCGACCTTGCCGCGGGTGAGCTGGAGTTCGACCTCCAGCTCCGCGATGCGTGTCTGCGCGGCAGTCGTCGCAGCCTGCGACTCGAGCAGTTCCGGTGACGGCGCGTTCGCCTTCTCCTGCTCGTCAGTTCTGGCATGGTCCCTGTAGACTCACCTCCATCCGTGCCTGAAGCTCCGAGAGGTCCACTCGAGCGGCGTTAAGCTCGTCGCGGGCGGTCTGGAGGTCGGTCGTGGACTGCTCCAATGTCTTCTCGAGCTCGACCAGGCGCGATGCCTTCTCCCGCTCCGCTTCGAGATCCTGTTGCGTGGTGGCGAGCTGCGACTCAAGCTCCATTATCCGGCTGTCATCGACGGGCGCCGAGCGCGAGGAGCGAAGAGTCGAGTTCTCATCGTTCGCCTCCTTCAGGTCGATCTTGAGGTCCTCGATCTCACGCTCCTTCGCCTCCACCTTGCGGACGGCGGCGTTCAGTTCGCGCTGGATCTGTCGCGAGCCCTCGTCGTTGAGGTTTTGTCGGGCAGCGTCGAGTTCGCCCTCAAGCGTCGTGATCTTCGCCTCGAGCTCGATGATTCGTCCTTGGTCGTTCGCGGCGATCGAGAGGCGCTCGATCTCCTCGGACTTGCTCTGGAGCTCGGCCGTCTTCTCCTCGAGTTCGCGTGACTTGGTCTCGACCTCGGTGATCTTCTCCGCCACGCTGGCCTCGAGGATGGCGACCTTTTCTGTAGCCTCCGCGAGTTTCGTCTTGAGCTTCTCGACCTCGGGACTTGGCTTGTCCCCGCGCAGTGCCTGAATCTCGTACCCCATATCCTCATTTTGAGACTGGAGTTCCTCGATCTCGCGTGCCGAGCGCTTCTCGAGGGCCATCTTCTCGTTGACTGCCTTGTCGCATTGACGCCTGAGGTTGGCGACCTGCTCCTGTGCCTTTGAAAGCTCCGTCGACTTCGAGTTGAGCGCCTGGCGGAGGTTGGCGAGTTCGAGTTCGTCGGCTGACGTCGATGTCCGCCGTGACTGCGGCGGGGTTGGTCGTGGTGGTGTCGCCGTGGACGTAGATGCGGCGAGTGCGGACGCCTTTGTTTGCTGCATGTTAGCTACCGTTGTGAAGGTGATAGCTTACCTTCACCTCGGCCCAGGCACGCGCGCACTCGGCCTCCTTGCTCTTGACCTCGGACTCGAGCGCGCGGATCCGTGCGGTGAGCTTGGCCTCGCCGCTCTGCGTTGCGCAGTTGCCTGCGAGCGCGGTGCTTTCCAGCTCGTACTCGAGTCGTCTTGTCTCCTTCTCGAGCCGTGTCGTCGCCTCCTTCTCCGCACTCAGTTGCGCCGCAAGATTCGAGCCCTCCAACCGCGCCTGGCTCAGTTGCTGTCAAGTTAGCTCTGCAGGCCGTGTGAGCTTACCTGCTTCAGCTCGTTCCGCTCTCCCTCTGTACGCGTGTATTTCTCCTCTATTTGTTCTCGTTCTTGTCGTTCGTCGTCTGCGCGCCGGCGCGCCTCCGCCAGCGCCGTCTCTTGTTTTCGCACCTCGCCTTCCAACACGGACAGTCGCGCATCTGTTGTCAGCAACGCACAACGAGCATGCTCACCTCGGTCAGACAGCTGCTGCCTCAGCGTCTTGTTCAGGCGCTCGAGGCCGTCGTCCCCGAACATTGCTGGATGCAGTGCAGTATAGCAGTAAGTTGGTGTATGTACAAGGGGGGAAGAAATGAAATCACGCGCGAACCACACCTCCATACTCCGTCCCTATGTTTACGTTCTGGGCGGAGGCGCGGAACCAAATTTCGGCATTCACCCAACTTGTCAACAAACCTTCCCAGAACGGCGTCGACGAGCAACCTGGATGCTGATGTATGCATCAGCGAGGGCGCGCCGTGCAGGCAACGCTATCAGTCTACTCGTGCATCGTTGCTGCTTTACAAGAATATATCTCGCTCGTGACAAAGCGTCTATGGCGTTATTGTTTGTGCTTCTTCATATTCTTCGGGTGTCGACGGCGACTTCCCTCGCCAACGGAGCGGGCTCCGCTAGGGCTGGGTGCGCGGCTTCGGACTCGGCGTCAGTGCGCGCCTTCGCCTCGGCCCTTGCTAGCTTCTCTGCAGCCGCACGCTTCGCCCTCAGCTTCTTGAGGACTTCGGGTCTTGTCTTCTCGTACACTCGCATGGCCTTGGGGAGCAACTCTGTAATGCGCTGTCTGTTAGCTATCGATGTGGCCTTCCTAGCTACCTTCTGTCTCTCAACCGTGGCGGGATGCGTCCGGAGGAAGTTGTACTTGTGCCCGACTGACACTGGCCTGCCGGAAGCGGCGGCATCGGCCTCAACGCAGCTCATCAACTCCCACAGGTCCAGCATGCAGCGCGGGTCGTAGCCCGCCCACGCCATCAGGTCAAGCCCGACAGCATCGGCTTCCTCCTCCAGCTTGCGCGAGTAGGCACGTTCCGCAACGACATCGTTGATCCAGTTGATGCAGGTACCAGCCATGTCGGTCACACTGACGTTAGCTTTTTAGTCGCGTACCGATAGCTTACAAAGGAAAGCTGATCGTGAAAGCGTACGAGAATCCTCTCAGCACGTCGAATATAACCGACGCTACATTGAGGAACTGCCATCGTCAGCTTGTGGAAGACCCCGACAGCTCACCCCCATGTTCTCCACTCCATGCCGCTGCATGACGTGCGCGATCTCATGCCCGATGACAGCGGCAAGGATGTGGTCATCTTCTGGCAGCAGATCGAGCAGGCCGGTGTACACGAACACCTCCTTGTTCGGGAGACAGAAAGCATTGACCTGGGGCTGAGCGTTAGAGCAGACATCGAGCATAACGCACCGATTCGATGACGTAGACGTTCCAGTCGGTGTTCTTGACGTTCCGTCGCTTGAACGGGTTGCGCGACTCGTGTTGGTGGCAGATGGCCGCCGAATGCGCCGTCGCGCTGGGTTGATATCGCTCGGAGACATCGATGGGTTGCCCCGGAGCACTTGGTGATCCCGGCTCCTCGTGCCCCGACCACGCCGTGCCGTGTACGACGGTGCCTTCTTGCTCTTCGATAGCGGTGATCATGCGCTCGGTGACGCGACCGACCTTGATGGAGCGCGGGTCGTCTGGCGGCAAGATCAGAGGCCCGTCATGGTGCACCACGTCCTTGTGTCTGCTGTCAGCTATCAGAATACGGCATTGTGCAGCCCACCTCCTGCTTGACCAGGCATGCTCTTCGTTCTCAGACATGAGAAGAAGCCTCCATCGTCCTGTCCGTGGTGACTGGTCAAGTCCGAGGGCGAGTACGATGCAGAATGCAAAGATCTGCGCGTCAGCTGAGGCGAACCCATTTGTCAGCTCACAGGTATCTGGATGAGAAAGAGGCTTGTGCGCCTGTACTTCTTCCAGAGTCTGCTGTCAGCGAGAATCGGTGTGACTGTGTGTGACTCGGGTGACTCACTTGTACCTGAAGACGAAAGGGAGGAAGAGGAGTGATATCCTCGTGATGTTGAGGAGTGTGCTCTTGATAGCGGGCACCGCAAGGAAGAATACATCTTGCCGCCGTGGTGACGGGTGGAATGATCGAGTCTGCAGCTGGAGGGAGAGAAGGTGATGGAGCTCGGTGGTCGTTGTGGTGATGGTGGTGCGGTTGCGGGGGTGGGGACCCCGAGGGATGCCGTTGCCGAGATGGAGAGAGCGGGTGGCAAATGACGTCGGTGCAGCGAGTGCTCCGATTCGCCCGGCGGCGAGGGGTCTCGGGGTGGTGCGGAGGAGAGTCTGTGGCCGTAGGAGAGGCCGTAGCCCGATGCTCTGTAATGGCGGGGGCATGGTTTGTGGATGATAATGAGGAGGTCGCTAAAGAGACGATGAGCCGAGGTGACTCTCCCCTCCCCAAGATGAGACATGCCGACCCAGGCACTCCTCGTGACTAACATCTCGCTGCGGCCGGTCATGTGCTTGACAACTCTCATCCGTCCGCGATCATCTCCGGCTCCGCCTCCGCAGCAAAGGTGTGTAAGACTGCTCTTATCAGCATCTTTTCAACAGGGATGTGCATGACATTGGCTGTTATCAGATATGAACCATGCTCAATGGCCCTCGGGCAGTAGTTCGCAGTAGATGACATTGCCAGGGGCTGGCCGACGGGCGAGAGGGTCGGGTATCGGCCACTAAGGCCACTGGCGCAGAGGCGTTGCGTTTTTCGTTGGACTGGTGTCACTCTCGATCGCAGCACATAAAACACAATCCACAGACGAGATCCGTGCCGCCCCGCATGCGTCCATCTCCCATTCGCACTCTCTCTCGCTCACTACGAACATTCATGCCTGCCCCAGTCACCGTCTCCGCCGCGCCTGCCCCGGCATCCCGCACGAGGGCAGAGCACTGGGCAAACGACACTGCGACAAAGTTCACAAACCCGTGGCCATCAGCCCACGGTCCACCGGCCCGCATGGACGTGGCCAAGGTGAGTAGACGACCAGCTGATCTGCCGTGCTTGATACATTAGCTGACATCAGTTTCTCTGGGCTGTACGTATCACGCGAGCGCGGGCCGGCTCTGCCCCTTCCGAACGCTACCATTCTGCGACGATAGCTGACGGCAGGGCCTTTGGGTGAAGCAGCCCGATCTCGACAACATCGACGCGTTCGTCCAGCAGCAGACGCCCGACTTCACGCCTCCACTGCGCGGCGCAAAGGCGACGTGGCTCGGGCACGCCTGCGTCCTGCTGCAGTTTGCACCTGAGGGAGACGAGAAGCGCGGCCTCAACATCCTCTTCGACCCCGTGTTTGGCCAGCGCTGCGGGCCGAACCAGTACTTTGGCGCGCCGAAGCGGTACACCCGTGAGTACGGACTGGCGATCGTGTGGAGGGGTGGGAAAGAGGGCGCAGTGTATCCACATCTTTCGCCCGTTCGTTTTCCAGCTATTTCACTCTGTACTTCAACTGACGGACAGAGGTCCCGTGCGGCGGCGTGAAGGGGCTTCCGGAGATTGACGTTGTCGTCATTTCGCACAACCACTACGACCACCTCGACCTGCCGACGCTGCAGGCGCTCTATGCGCAGCAGCCAGAGCACGCCCCCGCCATGCTAATGCCGCTGAACACCTCGCGCCTGATCAACTTTGTGCCCCCCGAGCGCATCCGCGAGCTGGACTGGTGGGAGTCCATCCGCATCGAGAGTCCCCAGGGCAGCGCCGAGTTCACGTCAACGCCAGCCCAGCACATGACGGCGCGCACGCCGTTCGACCTGGCGGCGAGCCTGTGGTGTTCCTGGGCCATCAAGGCGAGCGACGGCACAAACGTCTGGTTCTCCGGCGACACGGGGTACAGCGCCGTGGACCGCGACGACGACTACAGTGCGGACCCAGACCGTCCCTTCTGTCCCGAGTTTAGGAGGATTGGCGAGAAACTCGGTCCCTTTGATTTGGCTTTCTTGCCGATTGGAGCGTATGCGCCGCGCACGTTCCTCAGCACGGTGCACACGGCGCCGATCGACGCGGTGCGGATCTTCCAGGACATCAGGGCGCGCAAGGCGTTTGCGATCCACTGGGGCACGTGGGACCTGAGCCATGAGCCGCTGTCCGAGCCGCCGCGCATGCTCGCGAGCGCGAGGGAGGAGATGGGCGTCAGTAAAGAAGAGTTTGACACGATTGCGCTGGGCGGGAGTGTGTCCGTGGAGCCGAGGCCGTGAGCCGAGGCCGTGAGTCCCTCCGAGGCGGAATAGGCGCAAGATGAGACAAAGCGTCAAAACTAGCATTAATGTTCTTCTGATTAAATTTGTAAAACTACCGAATGTATTAACGTTACGCTAGCGGTGCGTGTCGCCGTGCTGCTTAACCTTTTCGCGCAGCGTCTGTCCCGGATGTTCGAGGAAGTCGAAGCGCTTCTCCTTCTTGCCAACTGGGGCGCGGCCGGCCTCGATGTCGTCCTCGTCACTACTAGAGATAGACGACATGCTGCCATGGCTGCCGCGGCGCTCCCACACGCGGCCCTTGTTGCGCTCCTTCTTCTTCTCCTGCCTTTTCTTCTTCATGTTCTGGAGCCGGTCGTCGTCACAGCTCATGGCCATGACGTGCAACCCCGGGAACTCCTGCCTCAGCCACGCCTCGAAGAGCGGCATGATCTGCTTGTCGGGCCTGTACGTGCCCGAGTCATTGTCGATGATAAGCTGGTAGTCGCTCGGATCGGTCGAGCCCCCGTTCTCGGGGCCGAGGATCCAGTTCGTCTCGACGGGATGCACGTGCTTCTCCTTGCGCGCCGAGTCGTGCCGCTCGTGCTTGTGCCGGTGGTGCTCGTGCGGCTCCGTCTTGCCATGGGGTGCGGCCTTGTGCCCCGCCCCGACGCCGCCGCCGACCCCAACCCCCTGCACGCCCGGGACGGGTGCCTTCTCCATCGAGTTGGCGCGCGCGCGCTCGCCCGTCTCGGCATTCTCGCGCATGGCCTGGGCCGCCTTGGCCTTCTCTTGTTCCTGGCGCTGTTTCTGCTCCTTCTCCCTTTGCACCGCATCGGCCTGCTCCCTCTGCTCGCGCTCGCGCTGCTTGCGCTCCTCCTTCTCCTCCTTCTCGCGCTGCTTGCGTTCCTGCTTCTCCTGTTTTTCCTGCGCCTTGCGGTCCTTCTTGCTCTGCTTCGCGTCAATCTTGGCCTGGCGCTGGCGTTCCTTCTCCGCCTCCTGCGCCGCCTTCTCGTCCGCCTGTCTCTGCCGCTCGTCCTCCTCTGCCTGCTTGCGCGCCTCTTCGGCGCGCTTCCGCGCCTTCTCGCCGTACGGGTCGGCCTCGACGGGCTTGCCGTCCCGCTCGTTCGTGTACACCAGGAACCCGCCCTGCGGCACGTCGTCGTCGCTGTCGGACAGCTCGAGCGCAGACGGCTTCGCGGGACCAGTGAGCACGCCCACGGTCTTGCCGTGCGGGTCGCGCTCGACAAACTCGGGCGTCGTGTTCAGCGACATGACGTCGACCTGCGGCGGGTGCTCGGCCACGCGGCCTATGGGCTGGCCACCGGCGCCGAGGAGGGGCTGGTGCTGCGGCCCCTTGGGCTTCTCGGGCGAGTTGCCTGCGGAGGCAAGCTGCCCCTGGGAAGTCGAGTAGCGCGGGTTGTCGACGATTTTGTACCCGGAGGAATCGCGCTTCTTGGCAGGCGCCTGCGGGATGAGGCTCGCCTTGATTGCGTCCGCGTCCGTCGTGGGCGACTTCTTGTCCTTCTTTGGCGAGCTCTTCTTCGGCGAGGTAGGCGAGCCCTTCTTGCCCATCGAGTTGTGGTGCTCGAGCGCCTCGGTCGTGAGTGGGACGCGGACGGAGGACTGCTGCTGGGGCGGGAGCTGCGGGGCTGTACTGGGCTTGTCGCGCTGGTGCCGGGCCGCGTGCTTATCGAGCTTGGTGGAGAGGAGGGGGTTCTTGTTCTTCCGCTGCTGGGCGAGGAGGATGTCGCCGTCCTCGCGGAAGGCACTCTGCGGGTGCCCGTTCACGTCCAGGTGTGCGTCGTGCAGGTGCTGGTCCTCCGAGACCGAGCTGCCATCGCTGCCCGGGTGGTGGTAGTGGTGCTCCGGTCCAGCGAGGGAGCGGGGGCGCGACTCGCCGCCATTGACCGGCGACATGGCAGCGACGGGCGAGGACGGCTTGTCGGTCGACTTGCGCCGGTCCGTCGACTGCCTGCGGTCCGTCGAGCGCCGGTTGTCCGTCGACGGGCGCTGCTCAAAGCTAGCCCCGGAGGCGCGGTTGTCGATGCCAGCGTACATGCTCTCGTGCATGGATCCATGCACGCTCGCATGCGACGGGGGGCGATTGACGCGCGCGCTCTGCTTCGGATCCCTCAGCCGGGCCTCGGGGACACTGTCAATGCCCTTGACGCCGTTCGGCTTGTCGTCCTCGTCGTTGATCTCCTCGATGTGCGCGCCTTCGCCCGCGCCGGGCGTCGTGACGCTCTGAATGGCAATGGGCGCAGCGACGGCGGACAGAGTGGGCGAGCCCATCCCGCTGAGGCCCGGGCTCATGACGCCCGGAGTCGTACCCGGCGATCCCGGGACGGAGGGGAGGCTCATCTTCCTGCTCGAGGGGGAGAGCGGGCCATCCGGCTTCCCATCAGGCGGCAGCGGCAGAGCCCTCGGTTTGGGCGAGATTTCGTGCCGCTCAAACTCGCGGTGTTCCTGGGGCGGCTCGCCCTTGCGGTGCACGACCTCGACGCGGGACGTCTCGACGATGCGGCGTCCGTTCGGCAGCTCCGTCTCCACAGTGCGCGTGGCGATGTATCCGCGCCGTCCCTTCAGGCCGTTTCCGTCAATGGGCGCGCCGCCAAAGACGTCGATGGCGTTGGACGTCGGCAGCCCGTCCGGCCCCGTAGCGCTCGCGGGCACGTTGGGCCCGACGAGGGCGCCGCTGCCCGGCTGCGCATTGTATGCGGCAGGCGTCTGCGCGCCCGTCGCAACCGTCGCATTCGCATGGCCCGGGGTCGCGGTCGTGGACCGGTCGACGTTGGGCGGGGTCGGGAAGTCGTTGACCGTGTTGCCGAGCGCGGAGCCGTTGGGCCCGTCGCGCGTGATCGTGCGCTGGCTCTCGGCACCCCAGTTGGAGCCCGTGCGCTGGTGCCCCCTGTATTCGTCTGAGGCGCGGGGCTGGCCATCGTCGCCGAACTCGGGCCCGGCAGCGTTGGGCCCGCCACGACTGGCACTGTTCGACTTGCGGTGTCCGCCGACGACGGCCGCGACGCCGGGCTTCTCATCATACTCTGGCGGGGTGTAGTAGCCCGACTGGCGCGAGTCGGACCGCTTGTGCCCAGAGCGGCTGGGCATGCCGACCTCAGAGGGGCTCTTGACCTCCATGGGCCCTCTGCGCTCGCCCTCCTCGCCATTGCCGCCCTCGGAGTCGCCGCCATCGTACTGCGTATTAATCTTCAGCTGCTGGATATCCTTCTCGACAGCGGGCTTGATGCCCTGCGCCTTGTCGTCGCCGACGGACGACGTGACGCCCTTGACCATGTCCCCATCGGGGTCGCCGGGCTTGTACTTGCGAATGAAGAACTCGCCCGAGACGCAGATCCACTCGTCCACGTCGCTGTGCATCGTGTGCTTCGACAGCATGTCGATGCCGAACTCGGGCCCCGTCTCTGTGAACCGCATGAGTCCGTCCAGCGTCACGACGTAGGTGAACACGCGGTCGCCCTCGCCCCAGTGTGCCATGTCGAGGAAGCGGCGCGCGCGCTCGTGTCCGTTCCGCAGCGTGCCGTAGCGCGTCTTCGGGTCGAAGTGGTACACCTTCTCGTGCTCGCGGTGCAGCAGCTCGTGCATGAGCTTACCCCTCAGATGCTTGGCCTGGAACATGGTCTTGACAAAGGGCAGGAACTCGACGTAGCGGTGATACAGCGCGTTGGGCGCCGGACCGGCGAGTTGCAGCTCGTTAGCCTGGAAGTCGGGGTCCTCTGTGCCGCCCGCATCGGGGTCGGGCGCGACGGTATCCGTGATATGGCCCAGGATGGCGGAGAAGTGCACCCAGTAAAAGCTGTTGGCGGTGTACACCTTGCCGACCTCTGGGTTCGTGCGGCCCAGGTTCTCGATGCTGATCGTGATCGTCTCGTCCTTCCGCGCATCAGAGCTGAAGGGCTTCATACACGCCTTCCGGCCCCAGGCCTTCACGGAAGCGCCGCGCGAGGACAGGTCAAAGGTCTGCCGGTCCAGACCGACGTAGTCCGCTGACAGCCGGCCAGTGTGCACGTGCACCTTGCCCAGCTCGTCGTCGTGGCTCCCGCTGTCCTCGTCGTAGACTCTGATCTTGAATTCCGCCCCAGGGGTGGGGATACCGGCCACGACCCAGACGGCCTCCCAGCGCGGATCGAGCGTCTTGTAGCTCGTCGCGGATCGGAAGCGGACGTGCGGGTCGTGCTTGTTTCGCGTGTGCAGGGGGGTGTTGATTTGCGCGAGGATGAAGGGGTCCGCGCTGTCGCCCCAGTCCGCGGGAGGCAGGTTCGTCGCCCCGTGGAACGTCACTTTCAGCGTGTACGTCTCCCCGACACTGGGGGGCATGGGCGTCTTGTCCAGCCCTCCTGGGGGGTTCTTCTTGTCCTTCCCCATGGCTCAGGTCGAGGCGGGTCGGGCGCTAGTCGTGGTCGTTTCGGTAGTGTATGAGCTAGTAGCGGCGTGTGTAGTTTCAATGTCGGTGCTGGCCTCGCTCGGATGATGAGCTCTAGAGCCAGATTATAGAAAAGATAGACAGATGCGAAAGAGATCAGAAGTATCAGTGGAGCTCCAAGTTGATCAGACGGTTGTCGGTTCTCACTGCCAACTTACGTCGCCAGTTCCGCACCCCACGGCTGACCTGTGGCTATTCTCATCACATCGAGCCTGCTCATGTCGTGACGCTCCCACTTTTTCCTCGGCCACTCAGGTACTCAGCTTCCTCAGCCCCTTGCGTATGAGCACCTCGGCGTCCAGGACTACACTCAAAGGACAAGGGAGACTAGATGCCGAACGAACAATTCTAAAATGACGAGCGGACCATCTGACGTCATCCACCCAACCGTGGACCTCACTACGTCATCGTCCGTGGAGTGGTGGTTCGGGTCGCACTTCGGCTCGTTGTCTCCCGAACAGCTCGGTCAGTTCCTGGAGAACCTGTCGGAAAGGAGTACTCTTAGGGACAGCACGGGCCTGGCCACCGCTATTCCTGAGGGCTGCTTCGTTGGTGGAAAAAAGGACGGATGAGATGAGGCGATCCTTACGCTCGCGCTTGGACTTTTGTGTGGCACTTCAATCAATCACTTTCGCATCTTGGAAAGACTAGAAACTACGGATAAGATCACAGATCACACAGACAGATATCGGACTGGGAGTACTGCGGTGGGGGTGAGGGCTACGAATAACTAACAATCTCCTAACTTCTCTGAATCTCCTTCCAACACTTTCCTCGCACTGCTCGGCCCATCAGGACCTAGTGCAGCGATACCTCGGCCCTTCGGACCTCGGCTTAGAGCTCATTCTTAAGCTTCTCAGCCGCATTCTTGACCTTGTCAGTGACCTTGGCGTGCTCGTGCGACCTAGACAGCGACGAGGCAGACTTGGAAGCAGCCGAGGCGAGGGACGAGGCACTCTTCGAGGCGACAGAGTAGATGGAGCTGAGGGACTTGCGGTGGAGCGAGGCGGTGTGCGAGGCGACGCTGGCGGCGGACGAGGCGCTGCGCGACGCAATGGTGTACGCCGAGTGAGCCTTGTAGCTCGCCTCGGAGGCGACGGAGTGTGCGGCCTGCTTGGCACTCAGGGACGAGACGGAGGCGGCGTGCGAGGCCGAGGACCAGTGCGAGGACCAAGACTTGGACGCAGCGCTAGCGGCAGAGGTAAGCGACGCCTCGTCCTTGTGCGCCTCGGCGCGGGCGGAGGCCTTGTGCCACTCGTGCTCGAGCGACTTGGAGACGGAGTGGGCGCTGGCCTCGGCGTGCGCGGCGACGGACTCGGCGGAGCGAGAAGCAGAAACAGACGCCTGGGACCAGGCACTGTCAGCCGAGCGAGACATGGAGTACGCGGCGGAAGAACCAGACTGGACAGCCTTGTTCAGGACGGACGAAACAGACGACATGCCGTGCTCAAACTTCTGCTCGGGGGAGAGCTTGGAGCTGAAGAGCACGCTAAGCATGCCTCCCGTGGCCGTGTCGGCGATGGAGTAGGCGTGATGGAGCGCGGCCTCGATATTGCCCCAGAGCTTCTGGAAGGCGTTCTTGTGCTCGATGTGGCGGGTGCGCATCTCCTGGAGCAGCTCGGGGCGGCCGAGCAGCTTGCTGTCGTCGACGCCGTGCGAGCGGAGCGTGGCGCGGAGACGGGCGTCTGGCCAGGACAGGTACTCGTGCTTCTTGTAGTGGTAGTGGTCCTGCATCTTCGTCTGGAGCTCCTGGCGGTTCTTCGGCTTCCAGTTGTCCTGGATGAAGCCGTTGTCGACGAGCCACTGGCGCATCGAGTTGTCGCTCCAGGCGCCCCAGATCGTGCTTTTCGCATCGTTGTAGTGCTCGTCCATAAGCTTCAGGTACTTGTCGCGCTTGAGCTCGGGCGACTCGGGAGACAGAACGCCCTCGTTGATCAGCCACTTGCGCAGGTCAGAGTCCGTCCAGTCAGAGTAGACCTTGTCCTTGGCGTCGTAGTAGTACGTCTTCATCGACTTGAGCAGCTGGTCGCGCTTCGTCTCCGGCGGCGGGATGATGCCGTGCGACACAAGCCAGTCGTGCAGGTTGCTGTCCGACCAGGCGTTGTAGATCGGGCCAACGGCCTTGGTGTAAGCCTCCTTGACGGCGGCGAGCAGTCCGTGGCGGTCCTTGGGGGGTGGGTTCGGGTTGATCTTGTGCGCGGAAAGCCACGACTTGAGGTCGTCGTCGTCCCACGAGCTGAACACGTAGTCCTTGGCGTCGTCGTACTTGCGCTGAGCCCAGTAGGCGGCCTGGGAGCCGGCAGAGTGAACAGAAGCAGCAACGTTGGACGCGACCGACTCGGCAGAGGGGCGGGCCCACTTGTCAAACGACGAGAGCGAGGCCGACGCCTCGCTAGCGAGCGACTCGGCAGAGGGCTTGGCCCACTTCTCAAAGCTCTTCGCGCTCGCCTCGGCCTCGGCCGCGAGCGTCTTGGCCTCCTTCTTCGCCTCACGAGCGAGCGACTCAGCGGTCGGCTTGGCCCACTTCTCAAAGCTCGAGGCCGACTTGGACGCCTCGCTGGCGAGCGATTCGGCAGAGGGCTTGGCCCACTTTTCAAAGCTGGACGCGGACGCCTCGGCCTCAGACGCAGCGTGGCGCACGTCAGCCTTGAGCGTGTCGGTCGGGCCGCCAAACATGGCGCTGGACAGACGCGAGGCCTTGTTCTTGGCCAGGGCGAGGAGCTCCTCGCGCGTGCTCTGCGGGGAGAGGATGCCCTGCTCGACGAGCCAGAAGCGGAGGTCGGACTCGGACCACTTCTCGAGTGCCTCGTCCTTCAGGTCCTCGATGCCTGCTTTGATGTGGTGGGTTGCGGCGGCGCCGTGAGAGGATGCGTCCGAGGCCGAGTCGCGCTCGAAGAGGCCCGCATTCGCGGTAGCTGCGAGCAACGCGATGAACAGCGTTGTCCTCATGATGGATTGGGTGAATGGATGAGGAAGAGGAAGGAAGGATCAGAAAGTAGTTTTCACTACCCGGTTAAGCTGGGAGCGGCGAACGATCGCTAAGGGTGTACCGCGCGCTAGAGGGCGGGAGTGATGATGTTTGCGTGTGTGTGTGTGTGTGCCCTATGGGTTTTGCATCGTCGTCATAGGCAGCAGCGTGCTCAGTGAGGTAGTAGAGTCAGTCAGTGTACGGTGGTGAGAGCTTGGGCCAGAGATGGTGACGGAATGTCGGTGATGTGACGTCATGCCCTCGCTCAGTTGTGTCCAAGTGACCAATCGGCGCAGGCGGGCGAAAGACTACTGCAGAGTCTGGCCCACTGTAAAGCTACCTTTCGCTTGCAGAGGGTTGACTGGACTGTGGACTGTGCATGACACCTGCTCCATAAGCCTGCCCAGATCCAAGACAGTGGGACACTGCCGCCTGCGTGGATTGACTGCGCGCTTGCACAGTCGCGACACTGTCCAAGTAAGCTAGTGGAGTCTGGTCGTCTTTGAGGCCATTGATGGGGGGGGGTTTCACGATCTCACGAGTGGATGGAGACTCAAAACACGACAACGATAAAAGCATAGCAAGGGTTGGTGTTTCCAATCTCACGTGCAATGCGCCACGGGGGCCACCCCATCGCCCAACGGCAAGACACGGCACACCGCGCTGGCTGGTTGCCTCCGACCGGGCCGTCAGTGTCAGTGGGGAACCCCGGTCCCCGGAAAATCCATCGGACTTGCTATCACCCGCCCACCATTGCTATAGTCGCCGTCCGTTTTCCAACCACTTGCCGCCGGCTTGCATTCTCCTATTCCGTTCCGTCGTCTACTGCTAGTGTCATCGGGGCATGCACAATCTTATCTCCATTGCTTCGCCACACAAGTAGATGTCTTGGCTGTGTGGATCTGACTGAGACTGATGCATGCATGCACACAGTCCGTTTATGCTATCAATCCGTGTGTGCAGAGAAAGTCCGTGTGTGTGCGACGCCATATAGATTTCGCAGGGGCGGAGGTGAGATTTCCGCTCTGCGGTCGATCGCGCTAGAACCCAGCTGGGCCATGCTGATTAGGGACAGTGGGATGAGTGGTTAATGACAAGCTGGCGGATGGCGTAGTGGGCAAGTTATCCAACATGGCGCTTAAAAGTTCCAACGACAAAGCACATTCCGACAACATCGACCAACGGAGATGGCATCTGCAGTTGAATTGTATAGTCGGGATATTGTGATAGGAGATGGTTGTGTCCATATTTCCAAAGCGCTGGCTGTTGATGGAATAAAGACGGTGCCACATTTGTTGGGGCGGGGCGGGCCCGGCGGTACTCGGCCGGCACATGGCAGACGGAGTTCCCCATCCCACCCTGGACACACCGTCGCCCAGCTAGCCCAGCTGGCCCAGCCAAGCGTCACCGTAGGCACCAGGTCACCTGCACCGTAGCGGGGCGTAGGAGGCCTGTCATAGGGTGATGCACCCGCTGAGCCTCCATCCACCAACCAGGCAGATATTATCGTTGCCAGTCCACCACACCTCCCTCCTCACCACCCACTCCTTCAACATCCCAACCACCATGTTCGTCCGGGCACCCCTCGTACGTATCCCCTTGACACCGGCGCGCCCTTGCTGTGTGCTGCGCCGAACAACACGCAGCATGCACAGACTCTCCGGTTCCTCGCTTCGCATGACTAATCCCCACAGTCCACTAACCTTCTCCGCCCCCTCTCCCACCCCGGCTCGTCCTACACCGCCGGCCGCCACCTCATCCGCGTCCGTCACCTCGCCTCCGAGGCTGGTGCCTACGACGTCGCCGTCATCGGCGGTGGCCCCGGTGGTTATGTCGCTGCCATCAAGGCCGCCCAGGAGGGTCTCAAGGTAAGGTGTCATTGTTGACAAGAGTGGGGGAAGCACCACTTTCTCCGATCGACAACCATTCGACCGGACAACATCGCTGACAAACCAGACCGTCTGTATCGAGAAGCGCGGCAAGCTCGGAGGAACCTGCCTGAACGTCGGCTGCATTCCCTCCAAGGCTATGTGAGTTGTACGGCATCGAGGGTGAACTGACATTGCAGGCTTAACAACTCCCACATCTACCACACCATCACCCACGACACCAAGAACCGCGGTATCGATGTCGGCGAGGTCAAGGTGAACCTCCCCAACATGCTCGCTGCCAAGGATGCCTCCGTCAACGCCCTCACCGGCGGTATCGAGACCTACCTCTTCAAGAAGTACGGTGTCGACTACATCAAGGGTACTGCCTCGTTCGAGTCGCCCCACAAGCTCAACGTCGCCCTCAACGACGGCGGTGAGACCCAGGTCGAGGCCAAGAACGTCATCATTGCCTCTGGCTCCGAGGTCATGCCCTTCCCCGGCATTGAGATTGACGAGGAGCGCATCGTCTCCTCGACTGGTGCCCTCTCCCTCAAGGAGGTCCCCCAGAAGATGATCGTCATCGGTGGAGGTGTCATTGGTCTCGAGCTCGGCTCTGTCTGGTCGCGCCTCGGCGCCGAGGTCACCGTTGTCGAGTTCCAGGGCGCCATCGGTGCCGGCATGGACGGTGAGGTCGCCAAGAACTTCCAGAAGATCCTCCAGAAGCAGGGCTTCAAGTTCAAGCTCAACACCAAGGTCGTCTCTGCCGAGCGCCAGGGTGACAACGTCAAGCTCAAGGTCGAGTCGGCCAAGGGCGGCAAGGAGGAGGAGCTCGACGCCGACGTCGTTCTCGTCGCCATCGGCCGTCGCCCCGTCACCAAGGGCATGAACCTCGAGAAGGTCGGCGTCGAGCTCGACCCCAAGGGCCGTGTCGTCATTGACGACCAGTTCAACACCTCCGTCCCCGGCGTCAAGTGCATCGGTGACGCCACTTTCGGCCCCATGCTTGCCCACAAGGCCGAGGAGGAGGGTATTGCCGCCGTCAACTACATCAAGCACGGCCACGGCCACGTCAACTACGACGTCATCCCCTCCGTCGTTTACACCCACCCTGAGGTCGCCTGGGTCGGAAAGACCGAGGAGCAGCTCAAGGCCGACGGCGTCAAGTACAAGGTCGGAAAGTACCCCTTCGCCGCCAACTCGCGTGCCAAGACGAACCAGGACACTGAGTGAGTATCCCACGGCGAGCGGCGCCGCAGGCGCCAGCGAGCCGGGGCAGAAGTCCAAGGGTCCGCGACATCTCGAGTGATCCCGACACTGCCCCCTCTCTCTCGCCCAGCTATCACCTCGTCACCATCAGCTAACCCCCGCAGCGGCTTCGTCAAGCATCTCGTCGAGAAGGACACTGAGCAGATCCTCGGCGTGAGTACCAATTTCATCGCTTACATAATCCGTCGTCAAGTGGAGGTGCCTCCACCACCTCCACCAGACCTCCACCCACCACCACCCAACCTCTTCTCCACGAACGCCAACCTCTTCCACAACTCTTCTGCAACTTCTTCAGAGCGCAAACGCTGACCTGCAGACTCACATTATTGGCTCGGATGCGGGGGAAATGATCGCCGAGGCCTGTCTTGCGCTCAACTACGGCGCCTCCGCCCAGGACGTCGCCGACACCTGCCACGCCGTGAGTACAAGTTGACGGGTGCCACACAGCTTTGCCTCCTCCACTCCACTCCCCAGATCTGCGCACTAGCGCCAGACGCTAGCCCGCTAGCCCCGTTCCTGTCGAGAGACTGCGCACAGGGAGTGGAGGCAAGTGGCAGAACCAAATGTGGCACCCCGTCATCCCTCCACGAACCACAACTAATTCCACAGCACCCCACGCTCTCCGAGGCCTTCAAGGAGGCCGCGATGGCTGCCCACGGACAACCGATCAACTTCTAAGCGGCAAGCACCTCGCGTTTCGTTCGAGGAGGTCCGTGCTGTAAGTGGGGGGTCGAGTTGGGAGTGGGCTGTGCGCAATTGCGCGGCAGCCCAGATCGCGGCTGTCACCAGTGCCTGCACCAGTGCATCAGTGGCTGCCCGATTGTAATAAAAGTACCGATCACTCAAGAGTATGAGTATATGCAAGCATATCCGTAGATACAGGCTTTGGCGTCGAGTGGCCCAGGCCCAGAGTTTTCATCGTTCCGCCGACGCCGTCTGTTGCCACCTGTTATCGCCTGTTGTCGCCTGTTGCTGCAGTCCGACTTGTCTGGCTGTTGGGCGTCACCAAGGGACACAATGACGCCGGCAGTGAGCCGCCGCACTGACTCGCGGACTGCTGAGCTTGCACTGCGCATCGCGCGTGTGATCGATCTAAGGGCCCGACCCCCGACCCGGGGCCCGCATGCAGTTCAGCTCCCTCGTGGATCAAGGAATGTCGGTGGCTACTGCGAGCTGCCCCCGCATGCCTCGCATGCCTCGCATGCCTCGCACGTCACATCCACCCACCCTGGTACAGTGTCATGCGCATCTCGAACCGAAGTTTGTCGTACGGGTGCCGCCCGTGGCCGCTCCCGTGAAGGTCAACACGCCTGCCAGCTGAATATCTAACTACACCGACAGTGGCGGTGTCACGTACATGATTTGCACGCTATGGCTGATGCTGTGGGCGCACATATATTCGAGTATCGCGCGTCGCGAGGGCAACGGAGAATCGTCGCTGCCTTGCGCGCCTTGTGCGCCTTGCGGACGAGTACAAGATCGGGCCAATCCCTCATGCCCACATGCCCTCATCTTGCAACTCGATTCGTTCATCCAAGCCGAGCAACCGGGAGACTCACGTGACCAGCATTGGGTGTGGCGAAGGTGGACGCGCAGTTGGGTTTGGCAGGGAGGCAGGGATCTAGGAAGGAGTGAAATGTGGCCTCACAACTATCCATGGCTTGTCATTTAGACCACGTCCTTAGCGCTTGGATAGCATAGCTCCAGAGGAGCTCACAACTCGCGAAGACGAGGGGCTGATAGCACGGCCTTCGAGGTACGGCAGGTTCGGAAGGTCCACTGCTTCGCCAACGGCGCTAACTGCGATGGTAGTCACGCCAGTAGGCTTGTAGACGCCAGTGCGCTCTGTCTGCAGAGCAGTGCCGCGTCGCACGTGGACGAGGTGGACGTGTGCGCGACGCGAATGGGCTGATCGACTGCGACTTCTGACTCGCGACAGATCGACACAAGACTGCTTCCGCCCCAACGCCCGCGGTCACCAGCGCTCATACCATCGATACCACCACGTTCTTCTTCGCAAACAACTCTCCTCTGCTCGCTGGCAAGGGTTCTCCTTGAGCTTCGTTCATTGTTGATCAACAACATTCTCCTCCCTCCTCAGTCGTTACTATTACCCTCCCACCCCCTGCCCCGAGCCCCAGTCATTGTCTCGTCACAGTCCGACCGTGCGTAAAACTGTCTCTCGCGCCCGGCCCCCCACCACCTCTTCATCTGTGTGTCGTTTGAGCTGTTTGGCAGTGGCATGTACTGACAGTAGGAACGATAGAACCAACGCGCTCAAACCCATCAATGCCCCCCCAACCAAAACGCCGGCGTACGACGCCTTCCTCGTCCTCCTCAACCACGTCTGAGGTCGTCGTTGCCGTCCGAGAACCAACGGCAGCGGATCCATTTTGGTGTTTGGTGTTTCAGGACTCGGTGGTCCGTTTCAAGGATGAAGGGCCTTGTCGTTGTTGGACGAATGCGTTCCTAGACGCCGCCCAAGGGATGAAACGTGGAACGCTCTCCAGATCGCCACCGCGGAGGAAGAAGTCGCGCGAGCTGAGAGCCGCGTGACGCCCGAGACTCGGAGAGGCATGCTGCAGGTCTTGCGCGAGTGCATCCGGGACACAGCCGAGTGCAGCGGGCAATGCGACGTACATGTCTGTCCTGGCGAAAGCCATGAACGCCTCGTAAACACGATTCACGACCCCTCGCACCTGTTCGCCATGCTGATGCAACAGGCGCGCGCGCTCGTACCCGCTTCCGGGTTCTCCGAGGTCATCGACTGGGCTCCCGTGTCCGACGATGGGCAGCTGAAGGTGATGCTCTGGCTCAAAGGTCAAGGACGAAGTGCACGAGGCCGACGACAGGGTCGATGAAGCGAACCCGCTGCGCGTCGATGAGCAGCGATTCTGGGATTATTGCAAGAGGCGTTCCGCTCAGCGCGCATCAATCGACCTGAAGCGCCAAGTGTTCATGGAGAAGATCGACAAGATAACGTCCACTGGTTCAACAACTATGACACGACCGGCACCTGTACCTTATCACGCGCCGGACCAATGCCAAGTCGTCCCCTGGGCATGGAACTTGGCCAAGGGCGGAGGGTCCGAAGCAACCCTCGCTGTCTTGGTGAGCGCCGTGCACCTGCGCCAGGGCGGGGCGGACACCAGCAGTTTGGATCCGGTGTATGAGCTCACAACCGAGGTCCGCTCCGCGTTCGAAGTACGCGAGAGCTTGACCGACAAGGGGAAGGAGAGTGTCATGAAAGCTGATACCGATCTTGAAGACGCGCTTGCGGGCCAACCCGCTGAACACAAATCCCTGACCACCATGCTCCGCAACCTTCCACCCTCCGCCGCACCTTCGATCGCCAAGGCGATCGCGTCCTACAACCCAGCCCCAGATGAGATTGAAAAGGTGCGCAACCTCGTCGAGACTGCTTCGCCAAAATTTCTGCACTTTGTGAAACTGTACGAGTGAGTACATGCAGAGCTTGCTGGCCTCCAATGCTGAGACATCCAAGGCACAAGCACCGCATCACATTTGTCCGCAATCATGAAGGCTTCCCCACTGCGTTCTAGAGGACCGCAATACGGGAGGACGTCTGGCATCTGACAGTGCGCGTGCTACACAGGGCAGAGAGCGCGTGCGACAGTCGCTTCACCCCAAATCCTAACAACTCGCCGGTCGGCCTTCTCTCTATGTGGATGATCCACGACCGCCAACATGGCGCTCGGGACATTTGTCAGGCTTGGTGATGGATATGTCGTGTCCACCCCATGCACCTCGGAAGCCAACATTGTGTGCACACCGATCCCACCACGTCCCTTTCGACTTGGGGATGAAGAAGCCGTTCCCCGAGTACCTCGAGGGCTAAGACCACGCTCAAGTCAATGCGAGGGTCGAACTCTGGCGCACAAACACGCTCGTGTCTTCCTGGCCCGTGGACGTTTTGGTATTTTCTTGGAAAGTTGCAGTGGGTCTAGGCTATGACCACACCGAGGCTTACAAACAGGACACCTGGCGCAGACTATCGTCAATGTCCTGCACCAGAGCGGCATCATGAAACAGCACCAGGAGCTTCCCCGGTTCCGCCTCTCCTCCGAGGCCAGAACGGAATATCGCTGGAACGGTCTTCCTGACGCTGCCATCGAGATTCTATTTGGGGTACCAGCCCCCGATCATCACCGCAGGCCGAGGGAGGGCCGAATGTATCATCCCTTGCCACTGTCACGAGGTACATGGGTGCCGCGCCGCTCTGCGTTGAGGTATACGGACTCGGTTCAGAGGTTGGGGATGAAGTTGCATGGCCTACGCGTGACAAGAAACCCAGAGGTCGTTTCTGTCGCAGCTCTGCTGAGCGTTCTTTGCTAGACCTGTCGGACTCTGTCAAGCTTTGCGAAGCTCTGCCAAGCTCTGTCAAGCTCTGTCAAGCTCTGCCCAGACTGTCATGCCCGGGACTCGGCTTCATGCAGGTCCTGCTGGTCCTTCAAGTCCTGCAACGTCCCTTCCACACCGCCACAACGCCCGTCAGCCCCCCGACACCACTAACATGTCAAGATATTCGACGCTGAGTCAGCATCACTGATCGCATCACTGACCGCATCACTGACAGCGACCATAGTCCGAGGCACAGACGCGCTGCATGCCATGTTGAAGAGTGCGCTGGCACATACAACTGTCCAGAGAAGGGAGGTGCCAGCCGTTCGGCGGTATTGATACATGTTCCTCTACATGCTCTCTACATGCTCCTCTACGTGCTCCTCTGCATGCGCTTCGCGCTCTCTCCTCTCTGCACTCTACTCCTGATTCGCGAGATACCACACGACCCCCGTGGAGCTCTTCGTGCTCCACGAAAGACTGCACTTGCCCTCGCGCAGGACCGGGTTCCACGCCAACCCATTAACGACGCCATGCACCGGGATCTTCTGCACAGTCTGCTTGTTCCACACGCCGATCAGATAGATAAAGGGGTCGTCGCCGCCCACGGCCAGCAGCTCGCCGTCGGGACTGAAGGCGATGTGCCGGATCGCACCGCTGGGTTGGTGGTATGTCCGTTCGAGGAGCCAGTCCCGTGCCGAGTACAGGGACACACGGGCATCTTGGCCGCCGACTGCCAGGTACTTGCCCTGCGGTTGGAGGGCGAGCGAGAGAAGGGAGGAAGGTGAAGAGAGGAGCTGGCGGTAACAGGGAGCGAGTTGCTTGTGTTTCCGCCGGAGGAGTTCGCGGGATGCGGCGGCTCGAGCAGCGGCAACGGCGGCGGCACCGTCGGGTTTCGGGGAGGGGGCAGCGGGAGCGGGAGCGGGGGAGGGATGGTCGGGTGCTGGGCTTGGCGCGGCAGTAGAGGCAGCCGCGGGCGTGGCGGCGCCAGGAGTCGCCATGTCGACGTCCTGCTTGGCGTCGGGGGCGGTCACCTCGATGGTCGGGTTCTCCTCCTCGCCCTCACCCTCGCCCCCCTCGGCCTTGGCATCCTCGCCCTCGGGCTTCTCCTCATCCGCTTCTCCCTCCTCGCCCTCGGCGACCTCGGCGCCCTCCGCCGATGTAGCAGCAGCAGGCGTGGCGGCCTCCGGCTCGTCCCGTGTCCGCTTGACTTCGTCTTCCTCTCCATCCGCTTCTCCCTCGCCCTCAGCAACCTCAGCCTCAGCCTCAGCCTCGGGCTCGGGCTTCTCAGCAGACCCCTCCTTGGAGTCGAGACGGGGCTTCTTCGTTGGCGGCTCCTCGTCCTTGGCCTCCGCCTCGACCTCTGCTTCCGGCGACGGCGAGAGAGGTGGCGGCGCGCGCTCCTCAACCGGGTACCACCAGGCATTAAGCGATCCGTCGTTCGAGACACAGAGTACTGCGTCGCCGCCCTTCCAGAACCGAAGGGAGTTGATCTGTTGTCAGCTACGGCGGGCGCCAACAGAGCTTGCACTCACTTCCTGGATCAGGTCAATCCCCGCGCCGCCCATCATGATGTCTTGCCTTTGCTCCCACACCCCATTCTTCTTCTGAAAGAAGTACACCTCGTCCCTGGCTTGACGGGGGCAGACGGCCGCGAACTGCTCTCCATCCGGATGCCAGGCGATGTGCAGCACCTCGCCGGGGATCTTGAACTTGGCCAGCGGGGACACGCCGCCCGCCACATCCCAGACCGCAACGTAGCCGCCACTGCTCGATGAGCCCGGCTTGCACCCCGATGCGAGGACTGTGGGCTCTGTCGGCGACCACGCGACCGCGATGGTGACGTTGCTAGCGGGATGAGGGGACTTCATGCCGGTTCCCGTGCCCTCGACGCCGCCGCCGGGACGCACATCCCACACTCGCAGGCCGCCGCCCTCCGTTCCAGTCGCTATGCGCTTGCCATCGCTCGACCAGGCCAATGACCGAACAGGCTTGGCATTGCCACCGCGCACCTCTATCGGACGCCCAAAGCGGGGAACCTGTCGTCAGCTAGAATGTCCATGGTGACAGCTTACAGGAAGTCCGCGTGCGGAGAAGGAGCGCGACGGGAAAGCGTCGTACCGCAGGAAGCCGTCGATTTTCTCGCTGTCTGTCGCCATGGCTTTGGCTCCCGGCGCGGATGCGGTTGATGACGGGCGACATTGTTGTCGCGAGATAAAGTGAGGTCCAGGCAGGTCCGGCGATCGGGGCCACCGTGGGAAACCGGCTAGGAGGCGTTCCGGAACGCGTCCAACGGTGACCTCCACCTCAGCGATCGACTTCGGCACGTTCGCTACTATCGACGAGAGAACCATGGGGGACTACAAGACGGAGAAGGAGGCGTTCCACGCCGACAATCCCGGCTCGAGCGTGCACCTCATCAACGCCATCAGCCTCGTGTCTCTCGTAAGCTGCCCTGTTGCGCCCCTCTAGCTCACCCCAGACGTCGTATGTCCTCTACGCTGCCGTGAGCCGGCGATCGCGCTCGCCGCTCCTTGACTGGGCGACCATGGTGCTCCCCCTTCTTCTGGCAGTGACGCTATTCTCGACTTTGGGTACTGCGCTCGCACTGAACGTGTTCCTCGCCGGCGTCGGCATCCTCGGCGGGGCGCTCGGACGGCGCCGCGGCATCGTGCGCGAGAAGCCGAAAGGCCGCTGGCTGGACGAGAGCGACAGCGACGAGGACGGGCCAAGCGGTACGCCTGTTGTTGCGCATCGCGCCAAGCCGCCTTCACTCGTGCTGGCCGAGGAGAAGCCGCTGCCGACTCCCATCTCCCGCTCGTCCAGCTTATCCTCCCCGATCTCGCGCCGGCGCACGAGCCCTTCCCCCGACGGGAGCTTCAGCGTCGACATGCCCGACTCGCCGACTGACTGGTCCTACCCGCCGACGATTAAGGAGCCCGTACCCCGCAACAAGCGGCGGCAGGAGGTGGCACCGGCTCCCAAGCCCAGCGGACACATCCCCTTCCTCTCTGTGTACCGCGCACACATGATGGTCATGACTGTGCTGTGTATCCTGGCCGTCGACTTCCCCGTCTTCCCCCGCATTCTGGGAAAGTGCGAGAGCTTTGGCACGTCACTCATGGACGTCGGCGTCGGAAGCTTCGTCTTCTCACTTGGCATTGTCAGCTCGCGCGCCTTCAATCGTGCCTCTGGCGCGGGCGCCGCGCTCAAGAGCCTCCGCGCCGCTGTGCCTGTGCTCGCGTTGGGTCTCGTGCGCCTCATGATGGTCAAGGGGGCGGAGTATCCTGTGAGTGGCCACTGAGCAGCTACGAAACGACGCGGGGTGAGCTGACAGACAGGAACACGTCACAGAGTACGGAGTGCACTGGAACTTCTTCTTCACGCTCGGCCTCGTGCCTGCCATATCGGCATTCCTGCGTCCGCTGCGCCGGCTCAACGTCAAGTGGACGACGGTCGGTTTGATCATTGCGGTGTTGTATCAGCTGGTCCTGTCGCGGACGTCGCTTCAGTCCTTCCTCCTGTCTGACTCGCGGCCGGGTCTGCTAGGCGAGAACAAAGAGGGTATCGCCAGTCTGCCCGGATACATCGCGTTCTTCCTGATCGGGCTCTCGATCGGAGAGCACATCCTGCGTCTGGGTGACACGAAGGCCGACTCCCCTGAGGAAGCCTCCGAGAAGCTCGCCAAGCGCAAGACGGAGCTCATGCTCGAGCTCCTCGGCTATGCGGCCGCGTCGTGGCTTGCAATCTGGGCGCTGAAGTGGCTCGGCGTCCCCGTCAGCCGCCGCTTCGCCAACCTGCCGTACGTGCTCTGGACGACAGCATACAACACGAGCTACCTCGCCGGCTTCCTGGCGCTCGAGCTCGCCCTATTCCCGAATGGGAGCGCCGATGCGTGCCCGCCTCTCCTCGAGGCTGTGAACAGAAACGGACTCGCCGTGTTCCTCCTTGCCAACCTCATGACGGGGCTCGTCAACGTCAGCATGCAGACGATGTATGCGAGCCACGCCACCGCGCTGACCGTGCTCGCGGCGTACTCCGCCGGCATCTGTGCGATTGCCTGGGCGATTAGAAGATATAGAATCAAGATTTAGGTTAAACATGCATGACACTGTACTAGGGTTGATGCAACGATCCGAGTTGGGTCGTTTCGTGTAATCTTCGTGTTGTCATAGGAGCGCGAGGATCGCCCCACGCACGACAACGGGTAGTCGGCCGAAGATAAGGATCTCGGGCCGTCCTGTGGCGCTCGCCACCAAGCCACAGTCCTGAGACCCATGTGGTGCACAGTGCACTGCTTCAATCTCTGGTGACTACCAAGATGCCGCCCGATGCTGCTCGAGTCTGTTGTGAAGCGAGATTACCCTAACATCTGCAGATGACACTACAAGACTGTATATATATGACTATATTATATCTACTTAGGCTGGCCAGGGGCGCGGCAGGAGAAGGCGGTGGTGTTCTTCTTCTTGTACGCGTCGATGGCGGACTCGATACCGGCGTAGCAGCCGAGACCACAGAGCGAGAGCGACGCAAGGAAGATGAGGAGGAGGAAGATCTTGGCGTACCAGTACTTCTTGAAGCCGCGCTTCCAGCGCGAGAGGTCGCGCCACGAGTCGACGCGGTTCGAGTACTCGGGCACTCCAGGCTGCCACGGCTCGTCGCCCTTGCACGCGTCGGTCTGCATCCAGTGGCCGAGCAGGAGGATGGGCGGGAACGTGTAGGTGAACTGCAGGATACAGGCGGCTCCGATGAGGGTGGAGAGCGAGGCAATGTTGGGAACGGCAGAGCCGAGAACCCAAGCGACGGCCCAGTAGCCAATGACGAGGAAGGTCCAGATGAAAGTACCCTTGCGGGTGTGGAGCTCGGGAGCCTTGAAGTAGGTGCGGAACACGTTGTGGTAGATGACCTTGACACCGACGTTGGCGTAGAGGACAGTGGCGACGGCGGTCGAGATCAGGCCGATGATGTTGCACGCAAGCTGCATCGGGTAGTTGTCGAAGTTGAGCGAGGGCAGGATAGCGGTGTACTCTCCCTGGTACGAGTAGACGAACAGACCGAAGAACCTGGCCGTCAGCGATGAATTGGAGACTAGAAGTGCGGTCACTCACATGTACATGAACCAACAGAAGAACTGGCCACAGAAGGCAGACTTCCAGAAGTCGCGGGGGCGGCGCATCTCAGCCATGAACTCGGTGAAGATCATGGCACCGCCGTAGGCGAAGACGACCTGCTGGACACCCTGGACCTGCATGTACCAGCCGGCAGTGTAGTTGGGGACCCATCCGGAGCGGTGAATGGGGCCGAGCTCGGTGTGGCCGGACTGCGAAGGGATGGGATCGTAGCTACCTACGTCAGCAAGGTGCCTCGTGGAAACTTTCACCACCAGTTGCCACAATCACGCCACATTCCACCAACCATCCAACGACGTGCGATTGGGTAGCTGGCTATGGCGAGGCGTTGATCGTGGCACACGCAGGTGTTTCGCACTACTTACATGGCGGAGCCGACCATCATGATGATCATCATGACGATGTTGAGGAAGACGTTGATGTTGGTGAACCAGGCGAACGAGCGGAAGCTCTTGATCTGGCCCGCGATCATACCAAGAAGGGCCCAGAAGACACAGAGAGCAATGTAGCAGAACTTGTACTTGATGATCGTGTCGAGCTTGGTGCCACATCCGATGATGAGAATGGCGACGTTGAAGATGAGCTGCAGCGACTGGAGAATGTTGAAGATGTGACGGACAGCCTTGCCGTACGTGCGCTCACCGAGGTCGGCGTAACACGTAACGGGGTACTTCTCCGAGTCGAGGTGCATGTAGAGGCGCCAGAGAATCTGGCCACCGGCGAAAGCGAGCAGGAAGAAGAACGTGTAGACGAGGACACCGGGGCCGTAGCCGAGCTGCTGGAAGGCGTAGGGCGCAGACGAGAAACCAAGAATGTCGGTCGTGATCAGGTAGAAAACGATCTGCCAAGAAGCAACACGCATAAGGCGGTAGGCCGTCTCGGAGACACCGGGGTAGGGGCTGCCGCCCTCAGTGGGGGCACCGACAGTGGTAGCGGCACCCATCTTCTCGCGCTTGAACTGCTTCTCGGCGTCGGCGGGCGTGGGAGCCACCATCGTGTCGGATCCGGCGTCGCTGTCGTGGTGGTAGTTGGCCATCTTCTGGCTGGGGTGGTTGGGGGTAACGATCTTGCTGCTGCGGCCCGTGATGCGCTTGAAGACGACGCTCCATGGCGAGTCCGGGATGGGACGCGGGTCGTGGTCCTCGTGCTCACGCTCAATCTTGGCGTAGTACATGTACACCTCGACGGGGCGCTCGTTAATCGAGGCTGTGTGATTAGCCGTCGCGATCTCGAAACACTCTCGCAATCACGGCTCCGGCAGTCACCCGGCTCCGCGAGATACTTACCATCAAAAAGCTCCGGGTTGACGATGCGCTCCTCCTCAAGCTCGGTGTGCTTGAGGCGGGGGTCGACAGAGTCGGGCCCCATCAGGTTGCCCTGCGAAACGAGATCGGACGCCATCTTGTGCGGGGTACCAGTTGACGATCTCTTGTGATCGCGACTAAGCTGGCTGGCTATGGGAAAAGTTCGAGCCGGGGCATCTTTCCTTTTTGAACTATATAGGTGGGGTGCGTTTGCGGAGGAGGTTTGCGCTCGCGCTCGCGCTACAGTGCACACGACAGTTTCCTGCCCGAAAGCCGCGAGGCCGCGGGCTCGGTCCCTTCGCCGCCCGCTCCGGTAGCGGTTTTCCCAGCTGAGCCGCCGGTCCTGGGATGTCCCAGGTTGAACGCAGGACCTAAGGATGACCCAGGATGAGTCAAGGCTCTGGAGGGGTAAAGCTAGGTTGACCCCGGTGGTCGCCGGTCGAGGTCGCCGAATGATGTCCCGTTATCGCGTGTCTGGGAGGGGATGCGAGGGCGAGCCCCAGATGACCCACATGCTCCACCACATGCTCCACTACCGTACCTTGAGTCGCCGCCGCAACGCCGCCAATCCGCGGCAAGATTATGCATCAGCGCCGCACCTTCCCTTGCCCTCCCCTGCCGCCTCCCTTCGGCAATGCCCTGGAGACCCAAGTTTACTCGGTTTGGGCAAGGAGTAGAGCAGATAACGGAGGAGCACTCGCCGCAACTGTCCTGGTTGTCCTGGTCGGCCGGCGCATGTCACTGGCTCATTCACAAGCTGTCAGGGCTCAAGGCAACGGTGCCGAGCGATGGAGCGTGCAGGTGGCTCCAAAAATAGACAGGGTTGCTGATGTGATTCAGGCCCGGCCCACTTTACCGTCCTTTTCCACAATTTTTTTCGAGCGGCCATCTCCGGCCATAGAGTGCTTCTGCACTCATTTCCGCTGCTTGCTCGCGCGCTGGTCGGTACGCTCGGCTCGTTTAGGGGCTTGTTTGGACACCTGTCGTGCATCGGAATCAGCGCATGGAATGTTGACACCCGTTGTGAAGCTTAGATCCGGAGTAGTGCGCTCTGGGGCATCTGGGGCACCCATCGCAGCCCACCTCGCAGCTCATCAGCCGTGTTTCCCAGCTGTTGTCGCAAGCATCCCACTTAGCACACTGCCACAGACGATCCTGCGATCACAGGCGGCCACCGAGAATGACCCGAGACTACGAGGTCGCCGCACCGATCTGTGGCAGCAGCCAATCATGCAAGACAGGGTGGGGACGCTGGCGACGCAGACCGGAAGAACTACCGAGGGCTCCTGACTCGCGTGACCTGGGACCGATATCGCAAGCGGCGTCCCCCGCGCCCCCGGACGGCGTCTGGTACTCTGGCCTATCTGGGGTCAAGTAGATCTCCGCACGGCGCACTGTGGAGCCGTCGAACCGTCGAGCGTTAATCCGCAGTTTGAATGCAACGACAGCGACTCGTCTACGCGCCGTTAACGGGTTCCTTCTGGTTCCTCTGCCCGGTACCGAGCGAGGTGCCGTCACCTCGCCCGTCGGCGACGGCCGGTGTGACGCTTTATTAGAGTTAGTTTCAGCGCGGCAGATCCTCCAACCTGACATCATCAACACAGACACAGCAAGGCACCGCGCACGCGCGCACCAAGATCCGAACGATCGACACGTTCCGCACTTAACAATGAACACACAGGCACACGCGCAGTGCTGCTGGGCATCCGGTTGTCTGGGTCCCGGACGTGTATTCATGCGGAAACCCGAGTCAACAGCAGGTGCGAGTAGCTGCCCCAGATCCTGCACGCATTCCCCGCCCGACAAACTGGGGCCATGCTGGACCGCAGAGCAGCTCGCCGTGGCCCACTGGAGGGCCCCAGGTCGGCCTCGGACTCATGACTCCGCCTTAGGGCAAGACAGAACCTACCGACAAACCGGGCAGGCAGAGCTGCTGCTCCGAATGGCCAGAAGAAGACCGCCGCCACTCACTGCGTGGGGGAACAGTCGGAAGTGCCGTCGCCGCATCCGGATATCCTGAGCGTCCAAAGCCGTAGCTACTTTGAGCTGCTTTGGCTTGGCTGACGCTTTTTCTGGCACTGTTCGGCCATTCCATAAGCGCATGACATGTATTCTCAGCACGCAGAACAGGGAAAAATTGGCCCTTGCTTACCAACAGGCAACTTAGTTTCCGGTATTGGTGCCCCTAGGTTGGCGGGGTAGGCGAGTCTTGGGACGCACACCGGCTCCACTAGAGTGACCCAAGACTTCTTCGCATTCCATGTTCCTCGCTTCTGTGCTCCAATGTCGCTCGTAAGAGTGATGACCGGGCAAGGCTCGAACGGTGTCGAAGGTATGCATAGGCAATGAAACGTGCAGGGCATAGCATGGAGCACGACGCGGCGCTTGGGAGACGCTAAGTGGTGTCGTGGGGAGGTGGGCCTCCAACTCATGTGGTGGTCCCCCATGTTGTTCCCCACAAGTGGCAGTACATTCACCATTCCTCGACGACCCGCACACGTTGACCCATCCCTACGGTTCCGAAAGCTTAACCTGCGTGCTGCCCTGCAGGAGAGATGCTCGCTAATGTGTAGTTGGCTGCAGGCGAGGAGGCGAGGCCCTCCTTTCGCACTTTTGCGCTTTCGCGATTCCGGCCAAGCTCCGGTGGAGCCCAAGGTTGCACGTGGTGCCACCCCCCGGAGCACCGGTTTCACTCCCCACGATCTACCTGACGCGGACCAGGTCTCTGGATACCCCGCAAGGCTCTCCGTGATGCTATCTGTGCGTCTGAGAATGTTGTTGATGTTCGCTTCCCATCGTGTTTTGATTTTGGTGGGATTTTCGCGATTTTCGCACAGCTAACTTCGCAGATGAGCGTCTGTCAAGATCCGAAAGATCTCTTCTGACGAGCGTCCCGTCCCCGGAGGATCAATGCAGTCAGTTGACCTCAAGTGTCGCGGTCGAGCCCTTCGGAGCAACGCATCCCCGCAGTGTACCGCGTTGTACTGATTGTTTTCTGACAATTTCCCATGATTATTGAGCATTGACTCATCACGCGATCGCGACTTCTCGGTCATGTTCGCTAATCGATGACTCTCGGTGTGTCTTCGGTCATGTTCAAACCTCGAGGTGACTTCAGCTGTTGGCGAACGCCTGCTAGCTTTGGGGCAATAGTTGGATACCAGGCAACAGAAAATGAGCGCTACAGCCCACGATTGCGAGGAACGGAAGTCGTTCGCTCTCAACTACGAAAGCGCGTCCATCCCATCATCTGGCGTGCTCTCCTTCTTACCGACCTGATAATACTTTTTGGCTGTAGAAGATTATTCGTGTGTGCCCAGCACTCGCACTCAGCCTATGCGGTTGCGCCCCATCAACAATGAGCGACGCGAGATCACGGCGAGCGAATTTCGACCACACGGAGAACGCCGAGACCGCCACATCGCCGCAATCCCCCACTGAGAAACTCATATCGGGCGGGAGTGAGCATAATCACGATCTCGCACGGCGTGAGGGAAGCAGGGACGAGGGAATCTACGGCAGGACTTCTCGTTGCATCTGTTCCTTGTCACTGACAGATCATTAACTCAGCCGCGTTACGTCGTTCGAGGCGGCACTCAGCGACGGTCGTTCAGCTCTCACGGATAACATCATTCGGCTCTCTGTTATCTCACCACAGATAACACCCATTCGGCCCTCTGTTGTCTCATCAGAGATCACTTATACTTATCCATTTGGGGCCTCCGATGAGAGCGTTCCCTAGATGCGTAGAGGGAGAGTATGTGCGACAGTGACAGTGCGGCCTGTCTCGTATTCTCTCTGACGCAAACTTCATGACGATGTTCGTCAAGCCCAGTGCCTTTGTGACCGCGGCCGCCAAGCTATGGCAGCGCTCCTCACGCCAGCGGCTTTCTGTCCATGAGTAGTTGTGCACCGGAGCCTTCGCCGTCAACATATCAGCGTGCACGGTTCTGGCATCATGTAACGGCCATGTATCCGCTGTCTCGAACAACAGTCCCTTCATGTTGTGAAGGAGGGGATCGGAACATCATTCTGACCTCACATCTCATCGTGTCTCCGTGAGCCACACTGCCAGAGATGGAAGGAGGTGAGATACATCAGTGAAATTTGGTACTGGAACGTAAACTACAGTCTGGAGTGAAGGAGTGGTCTACTTGCCGCTGGTTCACCCTCTACCTGACATCCGCCAGCAAGCAACAGCTTCGCGCCTGCTGCGGAGGTCCGCTGACACCGTCTTTTCGGCTTAAGAATGCCTATGCGCGTAAGTTCGTCCTCGAGAAGTGTGAAAGGGATGCGTGCTCATGAAGCTCGGTCGACATTTGGGGTCAAATGACATGCACCATGGCGGGTCGGCCTGCTCGGGGCTGCAAACTATCCAAGATGAGCGCGTCGTCACCGGGGTCCACAGTCGACAACTCTTTCAACGAGCGGAGGACGAGGACGTGACAAGGTCATCTGTCAAAATGGACCAAGCCCCGACGGGCATTCGTAAAGCATAAGACTGAGATCCACAGGCAGACCACGACAGCAGGCAGATTCTACAGCACATCTCTGTCCTGATCATGCTGAACACATCGGGGTCGGTTGCGCCTTCACATCCACTCTTCGTCTAACTTCCAACGAAGTCAGGGAGGAGGACACCCTCAAGGGGCCTGGGCGCAGCATTCCGAGCACCGAGGCTGTTCGACGGCCCGTCGGTGATGGATCGACAGCGCAGCGCGGCGAAGGCTGGTCAGGGGGCCGGGCCGACAACGATAAAGTCCGGTCAGAGAGTTTGAGCTGCGCTCTTTGTAATGCCGGGATCGCCCTAATGTGCTGAACAGGGGGCTCCTCATTCATTTTTTCTCCTGTCAGCTCTTTACCTATCATCTCCTCCTCTGTCGCCGCATGCAGCGCTCACGCACGTGGTCGGCGAAAGCACATGGGTGTGCACGTCGGTCGCGCGCATTACACTCCTTTGTTCCCCATATCTACCAGCAATTGCACCATGTTCGCAGACTCTGAGAGCACCCGCAACGCATTCCTACCCTTCGACACGAGGTGAAGGAGGAAGCTCCGTGAGCGCCTCAGGTCCCGGGTGCCTGTACGGCGTCGGTGGACGATCTGTGGCTTGGTGACATGGCGCTGTCAGTGCGCCGCAATGGTGCTGGGACACGGGCATGCTCATCGCGGCACATACACCAGTGCACGTCCCGTATACTCTCCTTCCAGCATCGTGAAGCTCACAGCGGAGCGTTCATCGGCGCATCCCTGGACATTGCGACGTTTTTCTCTGTGTTTGCGTTTCCAAATGTCCATTCGCCTCACTTGAACGGCTGTCTTCCCACGGTAGTCCTCCGTTCTGATTTGGTTCCGTCTACCCTCCGGGCAGAGTGATCAGCGAGAGGCAGGGCGTAAACAGAGGCGGGGCTGATGTGATCGACCAAAGGCGCGGTAACGGCGCCGCCCTCCTCCTCGACGGTCCCCACCCCCCGAGCATCGATTAACCTTTAGCCCCGTGGTGTTAAGCTTCATTTCCCTCGCATGCAAATTCTCTTCTGCTGTCAATTCATAGATAGACTGGACCAGCGTGGCCAGCGTGGCCGGACACCGGCACTGAATGTGTGGCCCATGGGCCGACTCTGGGCCGGACCCAGCCAGGGCACAAGTGGGATGGCTGGTCGGCATTTAGTACTGGCGCTAGGCGCCGCATACCAGCTCGCCACTCCTTTCATTGCGTCCTCATTGTCCAGCCCGAGTCCCCCGAGTGTGCTTGCTCTGCTTGCTGTGCTTGCTCGGGGCTCTCGGGCAAGAGACTTAGGGAGACTCTCGGAGCGTACGGGCTCCGAGAAGCTTCCGTGGAAGAACGGCAAGGGTCAGGAATAGACGTGGTGGATATGCAAAATGCGCAGGCGCCGTGCCAGATCGCGTTACTGAGCGCTGCAATGCAAGTTACGCCAGCATCAGGTTGGATCTCGACTAGCGCAGGAGAGCAACAGAGCTATAGAAAGAGATCGAGTACGACATGCAGTCCTCATTGCATAGCGTGCGCTTGTCCCCAAGCGCTGCACTTTATCCCGTCCCAGAAGCACGAATAAGCGTTGGAGTGAGAGTGCGTCGCCGCACCTTCCATGCACCCAGCAGTAATTACATACCGTTGCATGCCGGGGTGCACGGTCGTACGCACGATCGTAATCTTATCCGGCAGTGTCATCGGCGGTCTCACCAGCAGCGTCAGAAGTCTCACCAGCGCAAGACAAGTAATAGAACAACCGTAGTTCGTAGAAGTGCTAGAATGGTGTACGTGTCCCCTCTCTTGGACCGCTCCTTAACGCTTATTGCTCCCTTTTCAGCGCCGTGGAATTGGGACTGTCTCAGCTGACCGTTACGCACGCCTGCACACGATTGCCTCGTGTCATGCCATGCTTGGGGCTCCTCGATGTTGACGTCGACGTCTCTCCCCGTGCAAGAGCCTGCCTGAGGGTCAATTCCTCAGTGCGCACCGCTTAGTTGCGCAAAAAAAGAAATCACTCGCGCGGCTCTCCTCCCCATCTCAAGGGACTCACGGCTGCGCTCCACTACCCCTGTTCCGGTGGCCAATGAAGGCACCTCCCGTTCATATGCTTTGCCCAATACGAGGCTCGGCGCGCAGTAGAGCAGGCGTCGCGAGGTCAACCGGTGCGCTGGGTCGGATGCATTGCTGCGCTCTCGGCATGGCATGATTGGACAACCGCCAGGGGATACAGGGGATGCTTGCGCGGCTGATTTCTTTTTGAGCGGTCTCGTGGTTCTGTCTGCTCCTGGCTGCCCTTTCGCGGTTCCTGCGCGTTCCTCCCGAGCCCACTCTGGTTCGACCAAAAAATGCGCTTGTTCCCCTGCAGCGCGCGCGCGAATCGCCTCAGCAGCACGCTAAGCTCACGCCAAAGTGTGTGGATGACGTTACGGGTCATGAAGACGAGACCCTTAAGGCGTCGCCGGACGGGCGGGCACGGGTGATGGCTGGTCGCAAACGCTCATTTCGCGCCCTGGCGACTACCTGGCACCAAGGACTGTCAGCGCATCGACGCCGAGGAAAGCATCGAGAAGCGCGAGAAGCTTAAGCTGCTGCATTATTGTCCGAGTGCACCAGGGCAGGAAAAGGGTCTGGCTGACTTGCAGATGCCGCTTTCATGGCCAATACAGGGCAGAGTGCACGAGGGCCCGGGTGTCGCGCCTGATTTCTTGCAGGACGTGCCCCCCACCAAGGCCCGACGATACCAGGGAAGCTTAATGGCGTGTAAGCCAGATGAATGTCGTGGCCGCCCGGGTTGTCGCCCACTCCCGGCGCACAACATCGCTCCCCACCCAAGGCTAAAGATGCTATGCTTGACCAGGGTGGCCACGAGCGACAGGGATTCTTCATGAACGGCGCAGGGCCAGGAGGCTGACCAGTGGAGCTTGGCAGGTGTTCCCAAAGACTAAGAGAAGCGAAGAAGCAAGCCGTAAGGCCGTAGGAAACGATCGCTGGCTGACGTTGGGCGCCAGGGCGCTCTGCACCCGGATGCCGCGATGGCTCACATAACACTTACCATCCCCCCGACTCTTCCTTTTTCCTTCTTCTCCATCTCCCACAACCCCGTCTGCTGTTTCCACCTCCTTCTCTCTGTCTTCATCGCACTCGCTAGTCGAGCTCGCGCATCCTCATCTGCTTGAAGCAGTCTCTAGCCCTGGTGGCCGTTCACTTGCTGTGCAAGAGAACACTCAGCACCCCCTCGCACTACTCTTGTTTACTCTGTTCAACCCCGGCAAAGCAAACTCGACATCATGCGTTTCCCCTCGGCTGGTCCGTCTCTTGTCGTGCTTCCTTTGCTCGCCGCTCAGGCAGCGGCAGCGCCCTCCTACCGTCGCACTCACCCTCGCTTTGGTAAGATCATCCGCCCTCGTGCTGGAGGCCCCCTCGTCGAGCCTTCCTCGGCCGCCGCTGAGGCTTCTTCCGCCGAGGCCACGGTAGTCTCCGCCTCTGCGTCGGCCAGCGACGTCGCATCCGCCTCTGTCACCTCGATTGCGCCCGAGGTTTCGACTTCTGCCAACTCGACTTCGACCGTGGCGGATGCACCCGAGGCATCCAACGCCACCGCTTCTTCTGGTGCTGGCACCAGCAAGGACTCTGGCGTCTGGCACGCCCCGCCCCCTCTCATCATCAACGGTACTGGACACGAAGCCCCCGAGTCGGCCGCCCCGGAGCCGTCCTCCAATGGCACCTCGTCTGCGGTTCCCATAGTCTCTGCCAACGCCACCGCCTCTAGCCTCCCCGTGGAGACCAGCGACGCTACCGCCTCGGCTTCGGCTGAGGCCAGCGCCTCTGCCTCTGCGTCGGCTTCTGGCGAGGCTGAGGCTGAGCCTTCTTCGGAGGCCTCTTCCGCCGCCAGCAACGCTTCTGCTTCGGTTTCTTCGACCCAGTCGAAGACTCCCACCCCGTCTTCCTCGCGTGACAACTCTGGTGACGACACAATCCCGGTCGCCCCCAGCCACGATGCCGAGGCCGTCTCGTCTGTTCAGTCCAAGGCTGCCGTGTTCAACACGATCAACTACACGAACTACGTGCAGCAGACGCTGACCCAGACCTCGGCCGTGACGTCGACCTCGATCATGGCCGCCGCCGCCGAGGCTACGGGTGGCTCTGGCGACATCTACGCCGAGGCCCAGAAGCTCGCTGAGCAATACGTCCAGTCCATGATGGCTAACGAGTACGGCAAGCTCCTTCCCACAGTGACCCTCAACGTCATTCTCGAGCCCACTCAGGAGGCTGACGGTCACTGGGACTATGCCGTCCACCTCGGAAACGACGGCACCCACACCGCCGTTCCCACCTTTGTCCCCTCTTCGATGCCCACCGTCGCTGCGCCCCCGCCCAAGATTACCTCTAGCAGCGTGGCTCCCGCTCCTGCTTCCAGCAGCGCTTCGAAGAAGGGACCCCTCACCGCCACTGCCGACCTCAGTGGCCCCGCTCCCTCCTCGACTGGTTCGGGAGGCAAGAACGTTGTTCCCGAGAATGAGGAGAACCTGGTCCCGGCTCCTAGCGTCAACCCCATCGGCGGCATCTCGACCACGGCCAACTGGACCCCCAAGCCGACCGTGGCCAACCCCAAGCCGACCACTTCCTCCAGCAAGGCCCCGGCTCCTACCTCCTCGTCCACCCACCAGGCGGACAAGGAGGTCCCCACTGACGACAGCAACGACTACACTCCTCCGGCTCCCACCGGCGGTAACGACAACTCTGCTCCTTCGGCTGCCCCTACCCAGGACAAGCCCGCTCCCACTCAGGACAGCCAGAAGCCCGCTCCGGCCCCCGCTCCCTCCTCAACTCCTACCGACAACGGTGACGACAACTCTGGAGAGGAGGAGGACAACGGCGACGAGTGGGAGGAGGAGCCCAGCGACAACAACGACAACGAGGACGGTGGCGACTGGGTCGCCCCCGCCCCCGCTCCCGCCACCTCTTCCGAGGCTTCGGCTGCTCCTGCCCCCACCTCGGAGGAGCCCGCCCCCGAGCCTTCGGCCGCCCCCGCCCCCTCGAACAACGGACAGGAATCTTCGGGTTCGTATGAGTCTTCGACCGAGCAGTCTGTAGTTGCTACCGCTTCCGCTACTTCTTCCGACTCGGCTGGGCCCTCGGCCTCTGAGTCTGCTTCGCCTTCGGTTTCCGCTGAGCCCAACGTTTCTGCTGAGCCCTCGGCCTCCGTTGAGCCTTCTGTTTCTGCTGAACCATCCGCCTCTGCCGAGTACTCGACTTCCGCCGAGCCCTCGACTTCGGCCACTGCCGAGATCTCGTCGAAGCCTTCCGCTTCCGCCGAGCCCTCCTCTGCCGAGTCGTCTGCCTCCGCTGAGGTCACCGAGTCCACCGGCAGCGCTATTGCTTCCGCTTCCGCTTCCGCTACTCCGTCCGCCACCTCGAGCGCGCCCGACGTTGAGCAGCCCGCGGATCCCGAGGTCTCGAGCGAGCCCTCTGTCTCCGCGTCCGCCTCTGCTTCCGCTTCTGACGTTTCGGTTTCCGTCCAGCCCACCGTTTCTGCATCATCTAACGCGACAGCTTCTCCTGAGCCCACCGCTTCGTCTGCCGAGCCGTCCGCCGAGCCTTCGGCCACCGCTTCTGCTTCCGCTGAGGTCTCTGCCTCGGCTTCCGCCGAGCCTTCCGCCTCTGCTTCTGCTGAGCCTTCCGCTGAGCCTTCGGCTTCCGCCACCGAGTCTGCCGAGCCTTCGGCCTCCGCTACTGAGTCCGCTGAGCCCTCGTACTCTGCCGAGCCCTCCGCCACCCCCTCCGCCGAGACCCCCGATGACGCCCCGTCTACTTCTGCTGAGGCGTCTGCTACCCCCTCGGCTGAGGTCTCCGCGGAGCCTTCTGCTGAGCCCTCTGCCACCGAGTCCTCTGCTGAGGCTTCGGCCGAGCCTACGCCTGCCCCGTCTACCAGCGTTGAGGAGAGCGAGGATGGCATTAGCACCACGTACACCACGTCGTGGACCACTGTTAACGTCACCATGACTCGCGACCCCCAGCCCACTGGCAACGCTTCGGCTTCCGATTCGTCTGTCGTCCCCTCTGCCACCACCCTGCCCGAGACTGAGCCTACTGTTTCCAGCAACTCGACTGAGCTTCCTAGCCCCACCGGCAACTCAACCGAGCTCCCCTCTGTCTCTGGCAACTCTACCGAGGTCCCCACCTCGACTGGCAACTGGACTGAGCTTCCCATTGAGACTGGCAACATTACCGAGCCTTCCGCGTCCGCTTCCCCGTCCAGCAACGCGACTGCCTCAGCTGAGCCCACTCCCTCTGCGAACGCTACCTCTGTCCTCCCCGAGCCTTCCGCCAACGTGACTTCGTCGGTTGAGCCTTCGCCCTCGGCGAACGTTACCTCTGCTCTCCCGTCGCCCTCTGCCAATGTCACGTCGTCGGTCGAGCCTTCGCCCTCTGCCAACGCTACCTCCGCTCTTCCGTCGCCTTCTGCCAACGCCACCGCCTCGGCTGAGCCTTCGCCCTCCGCGAACGCTACTTCTGTGCTCCCGTCGCCTTCGGCCAACGCTACCTCGTCGGTTGAGCCTTCGCCCTCTGCCAACGCCACTGCTTCGGCTGAGCCCTCGCCCACTGGCAACGTGACCGCGCCCATTGAGCCTTCCCCGTCGGCGTCTGCCTCGGCCAACGCTACAATCTCGGCTGAGCCTTCGCCTTCGCCCTCTGCCAACGCTTCCGCGTCGGTTGAGCCGTCTCCTTCCGCCAACGTTACGTCTGCCCTCCCGTCGCCTTCGGCTAACGCGACTTCGTCGGTTGAGCCCTCTCCCTCTGCCAACGCCACGATTACCCCGTCGCCTTCGACGTCTGCTTCTGCCAACGTCACCTCGTCCGTTGAGCCCTCCCCCTCGGCCTCTGCGAACGTGACTTCGTCGGTTGAGCCTTCGCCTTCGGCCAACGCCGCTATTTCGGCTTCCGCGTCGGCTTCGCCCTCCCCTTCGGCTAACGCCACCTCTTCGGTTGAGCCTTCCCCGTCGGCGAACGTGACCTCGTCTGTCCTGCCTTCGCCTTCGGCCAGCTCCTCCGCTGAGGCCTCCTCGTCAGCGTCGGCCTCTGCTACCTCGTCGGCGTCGGCTTCGCCCTCGCCTTCGTCGGCCACGCCTTCGCCTTCGTCGTCTGAGTCCGCTTCGGCCTCGGCTTCGTCGTCTGCCAGCGCCTCTGCCTCTGCCTCTGAGTCCGCTTCTGCCTCTGAGTCCGCTTCCGCCTCTTCGTTTGCCAGCGTCTCGGCGTCTGCCTCTGCCAGCTCGTCCGCTGAGGCCAGCGCTTCGGCTTCGCCTTCGGCCACGAGCTCTGGCGCTGAACCCTCTGCCACTGACGGAGAGTTCTGCGAGCGCGACTACACTGACGAGGAGTACGAGGAGATCTGGGTCTACGAGGACGAGATCCAGGAGGGAGACATCATTCTCCAGTAAAATGACAACCTAACAACGTGTACATTGCTTGCCCCCCATCTTCATGAGTGCCCACGACTTCATGAAACCCATCAACCACCAGACATTGACATAGGGATAATTTAGGTAGTAATCAGTAGATAACCCCTGCGCTGGCCGCGGGCTATATATACATATGTTATATGAATAAGTGTGTGAGATCATTGAATATGGAACAGCTGCAAAGTCTGCGCTGACGAAGGCTAATAGCACGGCAAAACTAAAGTGCCACACGAGCTGTTTGGTGGGAGTTCTGTCCACCATGCCTCCCTCCTTCTAATCAAACGATATCACTGTAACGCCCTGCAGCCGTTTGCTATCCGTGAAAAGTGCATGCAATATGATATGAAAATCTACTTGGACTCGGCCTTGCCCTCGCCAGCCTCCTCGCCCTCCTTGGCCTCGACGGGAGGCGGGAACATCTTGTCGTGGTGGGGGTTGAACTCGGGGTACTTGGCGAGGTATCCGTGGTTCTTGGGGTTGGTGTAGTACTCTGTAGTCCGGTCAGCTGGTTTCTCACTGCTGCGCTAGCTGGCGACTCACCAATGTCTGTCCGCCTAATGGGGGCAGCATTACGAATCTCGCGTCCAGCAAACTTCTCGGGCCAAATCTCCTGCCTCAATCCAAGCGGGGTGTGGTACACGGCCGTAACATTGCCGCCGGCGTCGATGACGGCCTTGGCGGCCGTCTTGGAGAACCGGGACAGCTCGAGCTCAATGGGCGGGAGGGGCATATTCGGGTCCGGCTTGCCGAGGAGCTTGACGCCGCTCCAGCCCTTGATGCCGTGCACGAGGTTGCTCCGGATCACCGTCCCAATGGTGATGGGCACGCCCGTGTCGATGCGTCCCTGCGCGATCCAGGACTGCAGCTTGGCAATGTTGAGCGGCGCGTACTCGCGCCGCGTAAAGTTGAGGAAACCCTTCTTCGGCATCAGCTTGTAGAGAGGCGTCTGGCCTCCGGCGAACTGGGGCGAGGGCTTGCCGTTACCCGAACGCGCGTTCTGGCCCTTGTGGCCGCGGCCGGAGGTGCCGCCCTTTGTCGATCCGGGACCACGACCGAGACGGGTGTTCTGAGGTTAGCTAAGTCGTAAAGACAATGTGGAGCTGGGAGTGACACGAGATCGGGACCGAGAGGGAAAGAATCGGAAAGGGCAAGTCTTGGAAGAGCAAAACGCAATAGCAGCCAGATACACGGTCAACGTCGCTGCTAGCTGGCAGCTGCGCCTTCCCGCGCAGGTTGACAAGTGGGGAAGACAACAACGGCAGGTATGCGACGGAGTCGACCCATAGACCTCGTTGCTAAGTCGAAACAGCACGCGGCTAGTGACTTGCACCTGCATCGAGTCGGCCAGCACTGCCTGGATAGCTCCGTCACAAGGTCTCAAACAGCCCCGAGTCGTGTGCAGCTGCAGTCAAAACAGCAGGCAACCACGCCACAAGTCCGAGAAAGACATGCACAGTGCTCGGCATTGCAGCCGTACAACCATGCGTCCATGACCTCCGCGTGATGACCCCACTCCGTTCTCCATCCGGCGTCCCTTCCCATGGTCCGAGGTCCGTCCCGCCAGTGTCGAGTCGAAAGTGCAAAAGTCGGAGTCGATCCACTCACCGTCCGGGTGGAACCCTTGGCGGGGCCGATGTTGGAGAGGCCGGTGGCGTAGCATCGCTTCTGGGCGGCGACGGCGTCGGCGGCGGCTGTCCGCAGGCTGGCGAGAGCGTTGCGGAGCATGGTGGGTGTCGGCGTCGTTGAGTGCGATCGACGGAGTATACTCTGCCGGTCCGCTCGGGTTGGACTTTTGCTCTCTCGCTGTGCCTGCAACCCCCCTCGGACATTTCGTGATACGCTGCCACATGCTTTTACGTAACTTGGGGATATTACACGTCAGAAATTTTGGGCCAAAAGTCGATCATCATTGAGTCGTCGCTAAGACATGCGGCGGAGGGGAGGGGGAGGGGAGCACGGTGCAGCGGGTGCGCAGGGGACGGTGCAGCGACTTGTGTTTGTCGAGTCGCATCTCTGACACTCTTCAACCACTGCATGCTCCGGAGTAGTCGAGCATTCTTCAGACTTATCAACCAGAGGACTCCCTTCGCCCCTCCTCACCTCCCCACTCACGCCCCCACCCCTTCCTTCACCGCCTACTCCCAGATCAGAGCTTTCAAAATGTCCGCCCCCGCTGCCGAGCCTACCCTTTACAAGGATGAAGTCACCGGCGAGATGATCTCCAAGTCGTGCGTACATGCGATGGGCTGAAGCGGACAGTGCGGTCAAAATTTCGCGTGCTGCAACCGGCGTCCGAGACACGGCCGCTTCGTTCCAGCTGACGCAATGGCATCTTCAGCTGACATCACAGGGAGCTTAAGCGTCGCCAGAAGCAGCGCGAGAACGAGAAGAAGAAGGCCGAGAAGGCCGCCCAGCGTGCCGCCTCTGGCGCCCCCGCGCCTGGCCAGAAGTCCGGTGCCGCCGCCGAGGAGCAGCTCGACGCCGCTGCCTTCTACGAGCTCCGCACGAACCAGATCAAGAAGTTCCGCGAGACCAAGCAGCCGGACCCGTACCCGCACAAGTTCCACGCCTCGTCTGGCATTCCCGCGTTCGTGAAGGAGTACGGAGCCGAGGGCAAGATCAAGGAGGGCGAGACTGTTGAGACCAAGGAGCCCGTTACGCTCGCCGGCCGTGTCGTCTCGATGCGCGAGTCGTCCAAGAAGCTCCGCTTCTACGACATCCGCGCCGACGGCGCCAAGGTCCAGGTCATGGCCAACCTCCAGAACGCCAAGGACCAGGACGGCTTCATGGCCACGAACGACATCATTCGCCGTGGAGACATCATTGGTGTCACCGGCCAGCCGTCGCGTACCAAGGCCGGAGAGCTTACGCTCATGGCCTCGGACGTCAAGCTCCTCTCGCCCTGTCTCCACCAGCTTCCCGGACGTGAGGGTATCACCGACGTCGAGACCCGCTACCGCAAGCGCTACCTCGACCTGATTGTCAACAACTCGACCCGCGACATCTTCATCGCCCGCTCCAAGATTGTCAACTACATCCGCAAGTACCTCGACTCGCTTGGTTTCCTCGAGGTCGAGACCCCGATGATGAGCATCCAGGCTGGTGGCGCCGTCGCCAAGCCGTTCATCACGCACCACAACGACCTCAAGCTCGACCTCTTCATGCGTATCGCCCCCGAGCTCTACCTCAAGGAGCTCGTTGTCGGTGGCCTCGACCGTGTCTTCGAGATTGGCCGTGTGTTCCGTAACGAGCAGATCGACATGACGCACAACCCCGAGTTCTCCATCTGCGAGTTCTACATGGCCTACGCCGACATGTACGACCTCATGGACATGACCGAGAGCATGATCAGCGGCCTCGTCAAGTACCTGACTGGCGGTACCAAGGTCAAGTACCACCCCAAGGGCAAGGGCGAGGGCATGCCCGAGTACGAGATTGACTTTGCGACGCCGTGGAAGCGCTTCGACATGATTGAGGAGCTCGAGAAGCAGCTCAACGTCAAGTTCCCCCCTGGAGACACGCTGCACACCGAGGAGGCGAACAAGTTCCTGCGCGACCTGTGCGCCAAGCACAACGTCGACTGCTCCGAGCCCAAGACGAACGCGCGTCTCCTCGACAAGCTCGTCGGCGAGTACATTGAGAACCAGTGCATCAACCCGTCCTTCATCGTCGGCCACCCGCAGGTCATGTCCCCGCTGGCCAAGTACCACCGCTCGCGCCCGGGACTGTGCGAGCGCTTCGAGTGCTTCGTCGCGACCAAGGAGATTTGCAACGCCTACACCGAGCTCAACGACCCCTTCGACCAGCGCGAGCGCTTCGAGGAGCAGGTCCGCCAGAAGGAGCAGGGAGACGACGAGGCTCAGGGCATCGACGAGACCTTCATCAACGCCCTCGAGTACGGCCTGCCCCCCACCGGTGGCTGGGGTCTCGGCATCGACCGTCTCGTCATGTTCCTCACCGACTCGGCCAACATCAAGGAGGTCCTCCTCTTCCCCGCCATGCGCCCCGTTGGCCAGCAGGACCAGCAGCAGGCTGCTCACATCAAGGAGGAGCACGCCAAGGAGGAGCCCGCCAAGATCTAAGCGGCCGCGCGCGAGCAAAGCGAGCGCAGTCGTAATCGTAGTCGTAGTCTGCGAGCGTCGAAGTCCTTCTACAACCCCCACAAAAGCAATCTTGTCATTAGATGATAATCCTTAGTTTCCGATGGCATTGATATTTTCGAGACCCGCCCGCCGTGGCTTTTTCCACTTGCTGCAGCGACAGCGGAATACTGCCACACCTCAGGACTAACCGCCTCCTTGTCAACCCTGGAGATCAGTCTCTGCACCACTACACCTCCGGTCCGAAGCTAAAACCTATGCATTGAACGAAACTAAGAAAACCTATGACTGTGCGTTTTTTCTCGAGCGAACTCTTGACTCTATATCTTTTGGTGTTTTGGATGTGCCACCCGTTGAGGGCGGCGGGGTGTCGTGGTGTACAAACTCCACTGAGTACACGCGCGTAAACGCCCGCGAACGCCCGCTATCGCGGTCGTTTCTCGCGGTCGTTTACTGCTTGGCCGCAAACTCGTACGCGTTCTGGAACAGACGGAACCAAGGGCCCTTACCCTTCCACGCCTCGCCGAGCTGGGGCGGGAACCAAGAGTTGGACTCGGCGGCAACGACGCGCTCGGGGTGGGGCATGATGGCGAGGACGCGTCCGTCGGGGCTCTGGACGGCCGAGATGCCGTGCGGCGAGTCGTTGGGGTTGAGCGGGTACTCCTGCGTCACCTTGCCCTGTGCATCGACGTAGCGGACGGGCACGAGGCCCTCCTTCTCCAGCTGGTCGAGGCTGCCCTTGGCGTCAAAGGCGGCGCGGCCCTCGCCGTGCGCCACGGCCACGGGGAGCGTGGAGCCCTCCATGCCGCGGAGGAGCACGTTGCGCGCCGCCTCGGGCGTGATGGTGACACTGCACACGCGGCCCTCGAAGCGCTCGCTCCGGTTCGTCTTGAACTCGGGCCACGCGCTGACGCCGGGGATGAGGTCGCGCAGCTGTGCGAAGAACTGGCATCCGTTGCACACACCGAGCGCGAACGTGTCGGGCCGCTTGAAGAAGGCCTCGAACTCCTCCCTCGCCTTGGGGTTGAGAAGCACGCTGTTCGCCCATCCCCGTCCGGCACCCAGGACGTCGCCGTAGCTGAATCCGCCACAGGCAGCGAGACCCGCAAACTGCGACAGACCCACGCGGCCGCTAATGATGTCCGACATGTGCACGTCGACGCTCTCGAAGCCCGCCGCGTGGAACGCCCACGCCATCTCGATGTGCCCGTTCACGCCCTGCTCGCGCAGGATCGCGACCTTGGGCGCACCCTCCCGACCGGGCGGAGGCGAGGTGAGGAAGTCAAACTTGACGTCGTACAGGATACCCTTGTCGTCATCCCTGAGGATGGCGTCAAACTCCTCCTTGGCGCCCAGGGGCGCGTCGCGCAGCGACCGCATGCGGTAGCTGGTCTCGGCCCACGCCTGCTGCAGCTGGCCACGGGTCGAGGCGAAGATCTCGGCCCCGTTCTGGACGATAGACAGCTTCTGCTCGCCCTGGCCCAGGACGCGGCCGAGGGCATGCAGGCGCTGCGTCGGGAAGCCTGCCGCCGTGAACGCGGCCGTGAAGCTGGCAAGGTCGGCGTTGCGCACCTGGAAGACGGCACCGAGCTCCTCGTTGAAGAGCGCCGCGGCAGCGTCGCCAGTCGAGTAGCCGTCGAGGGTGAGCTCGACGCCTGAGCGGCCCGCAAAGGCCATCTCGGCGACGGCGGTGAAGAGACCACCGTCGGAACGGTCGTGGTATGCCAGCACGGTCTGGCCCTTGTGCAGCTCGGACACGGCGGTGAAGAAGGCCTTGAGCTCGGACGCGTCCTCGACGTCGGGCGCCTCGGAGCCGAGCGCCTTGTACGCCTGCGCGAGGGCGGAGCCGCCAAGTCGCTGCTTGCCCTGCGCGAGGTCGGCGAAGACGAGCGTCGTCTCGCCAACGTCGGTACGCAGCTGCGGCGTCCAGGTCGCCGAAACGTTGTCGGTCGGCGCGAACGCGGTGACAATAAGCGAGAGGGGCGCAGTGACGCTCTTGTCGCCCCAGCGCATGCTCATCGACATGCTGTCCTTGCCGACAGGGATGCCGACGCCGAGGGCGGGGCAGAGCTCCATGCCAATAGCCTGCACGGCCTCGTAGAGGCGCGAGCCCTCGCCGGGCGCAGACGCGGCCGACATCCAGTTGGCCGACAGCTTGGTCTTGCCCATGTCGGGGACGGAGGCGGCGACGAGGTTGGTCAGCGCCTCAGCGACGGCCATGCGGGCCGACGCGCCCGCAGAGAGCAGAGCGAGGGGCGTGCGCTCGCCCATCGCCATGGCCTCACCGACCTTGACGTCGAAACCGAACGAGGAACGGGTGACGGCGACATCGGCGACGGGGACCTGCCAGGGACCGACCATCTGGTCGCGCGTGACGAGGCCAGAGATGGAGCGGTCGCCAATCGTGATCAGGAAGCCCTTGCTGCCGACGCTGGGGACGTGGAGAACACGGTCAGCGGCCTCGGTGAGGGTGGCAGAGGGCGAGTACTGCTTGAGCGTGGCGTCGAAGGCCTCGCGCTTCGGGTGAACAGTTTCGGCCTTGCGGTGCATGCGCGGCGGCTTGCCAAAGAGGACGCCCATGTCAATGTCAATAGCGTTCTCGCCGAGGAGGCGGTCGGTCACGACGAGACGCTGCTCCTCGGTGGCGGTACCGACGACAGCGAAGGGGCAGCGCTCGCGGCGGCACATCTCCTCGAAGACGGGGAGGTCCTTGGGCGCAACGGCGAGAACATAGCGCTCCTGCGACTCGTTGCACCAGATCTCCATGGGGGACATCTTGGGGTCGTCGACAAGCACGTCGCGAATCTCAAAGACGGCGCCGAGACCGGCATCGTGGACGAGCTCCGGCAGGGCGTTCGAGAGACCACCGGCACCGACGTCGTGGATCGACTGGATCGGGTTGCCGCCCTCGGACTGGGGACGGTTGACACACGCGTCAATGACCTGCTGGCAGCGGCGCTGCATCTCGGGGTTCTCACGCTGGACAGAGGCAAAGTCGAGGTCGGCCGACGAGGCGCCCGAGGCCATGGACGAGGCGGCACCGCCACCGAGACCGATGAGCATACCAGGGCCACCGAGGACGATGACCTTGGCACCCGGAGTGATCTTCTCCTTCAGCGCGTACTCGGGGCGGACGGTGCCGAGACCACCGGCAATCATGATCGGCTTGTGGTAGCCGCGCCACTCGGGGCTGCCGTCAGCCGAGGGCACCTCCATGAGGAAGGTACGGAAGTAGCCGCCGAGGGCGGGGCGGCCGAACTCGTTGTTGAAGGCGGCAGCACCGAGGGGAGCCTCGATCATGATGTCGAGCGCGGACGCAATGTGACCGGGACGGCCAATGTCCGACTCCCAGGCCTGCTCGAAACCGGGGATCAGGAGGTCCGAGACAGTGAAACCGGCAAGACCGGCCTTGGGACGCGAACCACGGCCGGTGGCACCCTCGTCACGGATCTCACCACCGGAACCAGTAGCAGCTCCGGGGTAGGGCGAAACGGCAGTCGGGTGGTTGTGCGTCTCGACCTTGATGAGGATGGGCATCGGCTCCTCCTTGGCGCCGTAGGTACCCTTGTTGTCGGCGACGGCGAAGCGGGGAGCGGTGAAGCCCTCGAGGATAGCCGCGTTGTCGTGGTACGCCGAAAGCGTACCGTTCGAGTTGCACTGCTTCTCGGTGTTGCGAATCATGCCGAAGAGCGAGTTCTCCTTGTCGGCGCCGTCAATGTTCCAGGCGGCGTTGAAGATCTTGTGGCGACAGTGCTCCGAGTTGACCTGGGCGAACATGAAGAGCTCGGCGTCGGTCGGGTTGCGGCCCGCGGCGAGGAACGAGTCGACGAGGTACGGGATCTCGGTGTCGGAGAGGGCGAGGCCCAGACGGGCGTTGGCCTCCTCGAGGACGGCCTTGGGGTCCTTGGCGCCGAGGATGGGGACGGTGACAAGGGGGTCGGGCTGGGGCGCGGCGGGGGGGAAGACATCCTCGGCGGCAGGGAGCGAGGTGCTGACGACCTGTGTCATGCGGTCGTGGATGAGGTGCAGCTGCTTCTCGAGCTTGTCAAGCTGAATGTTGGAGCCGCCGAGAAGATAGAGCGCGCCGCGCTCGATGCGGTTCACGTGCTGACCGAGGCGACACAGCTTGGCAATGTCGGTCGCCTTGGACGACCAGGGCGAGATCGTACCGGCACGAGGCAGGACGTATACGGCAGTAACGCCCTCCTTGTTGCCCGAGAGGTAGGCGGCGGTGCTCTCGCTCGGCACCGGACGCGAGGTCCGCCTCGGTCTGGGGCGAGGTCGCATTGACGAGGTGCAGGTGCACGGCGTCGACCGAGGTGATACCGCTGTCGGCGCCCTGGAGCGCCTTGAGCAGCGCGGCGCGGCGCGTGGGCGTGATCGCCGAGGAACCAGTGAGAACGAGCATGCTGGGGGGTCAGCTAGACGGCTTCTACTAAGCTTACGTTGCTGTTCTCTCAGTTGTGAGGAGAGGGGGGGGGGGTGTTGGGCGAGTGGGAG